AATATGAGATGTTTGAGATAAAATTGTTGATATTTGAGTTTTCATACTCCAATAACTGACTAATTTAAAATTTAAAAGTGTGAATGGAAGAGGGAAAAGTAAAATATTATCTGTGTATGTGTGAGTAAATAGTATAAAAATTTCAAGAGGTCAAGTCAGTCAGTCATTGTTAAAATACCGATTTATTTATACCTTGTAAAACTTTTTTTCCCCATTGATACTTTGAACTACAATCTATCCCTCGGGACGACAATGAGTAATTTTGTTGACTTTTGTTTTAATTTTACTTAAGTGGTGGACATTCCAACGAATGTTGCACTTCGTCTTATTAAAACATACATACATTTTTTTTCTGAATAAGCTTGCCATTTTTTTTTCATTCATGATAAACAAAAAATTATATTTATCTGTCAATTACAACCGTTTATTTAAAGTATTAATTATAAAACGAAATTGAGATAAGAATCGATGCAATAAAGTTCAAAGATTTATGAACTCATTGGACAAAGTAAAAGAAAAGTAAAGGAGCATCTACATCGACAATAGAAAAAAATTTATTCTTTCACATTGAAAGCGAAATAACGTTCAGACGATAATAATCACTCGTTGCAATTGCTGTTACTCTGTGGACCATTCGGACAGTGCAACGAACCCACATTTTTTTTGCTCGGCATTTTATTTCACACTTTTTCTCATTTTCTTTTTTTTTTTTATTTCATTTTTCTTTCTGTTCGAGTGAACGTTACTGTGGAAGGCGTCAAGGCACAAAGCAGCATGAAATACTTCTAGCCTCATCACGCTGATGATGATAAAGATAAAACTATCTATGTGTATCTTGAATCAAAGCAATTGACCTAGATTATTATATTTAAATTGCACAAAAGATACTTTGATATTATTGAGCAAATTTTTGTGCATGTAATTATATTTAATTATTCCTAGTTATCCAACATTATGTAGCATCACTCAGCGGTGATTTATTCAGTTTTAATAAGCAATAGAATAGAAATAATGTTGTAGAAATTATTATTATGATAACAACAACAGGAATAATTTTGGATTATTAAAAAACCTCGGGAATTTATTAGTAACATCTTGAATATGAAAATAAGTTGAAAGTATTTTACCCCAAGTGTAATAGCAACGGAGTGTGAAGAGTCAAATTCAATTCCGGAAAGAGGGGATGAAGTTGTCGGAATAGTAAAGAAGACTCGAAGAATAGAAGGAAGTAAGAAAGAAAAGAGATGCCTCAGCAACTTATAAAAGGCCTCACGAAAACCGCAGACGTTACTCAACGTCCCATAGTGACACTTCCGCAGGAAATCGTGCTTCTTATTATGCATATTTACCTATAAAAGATCAAAATGTATCTTATCACAGCTTCTTACTCTACACCTTATGCTATGAAAAATAGAGGAAAAAATATTCCAAACGAGAGAAATTCTTTTCATAAGAAAAAATATACAGATGCTCGTGTATTAATAATGTTATTTTTAAAAGAGGATAAATTTGTAACATCATAATTATATAATGTTCGAATATTTTTTTTTGTTATTGACATGGTAACATTATTATAGATTCAGTTCTGATGATTACTTAGAATAAAAAAGAAATTTATTCAACTAAATATTAAAATACATTTCGTTTAATTTATTAAAATATCTTATTGCAAACATTTTAAAATCTTTTTATTGATTAAATAAACATTTTTTTTGTGTAGCAAGAATTTCTTCCTTAGTGTGCAGGAAATAATTTAATATTAATAATGTTATTTTTAAAAATAGATGAAATTTATGACATCATAATTAAATGATGTTTGAATGCAAAAAAATATAATGTTAATATTTAAAAAAACTTCATTCATTGTAGATTTATGTCTAAAACAGTCACTTTGCTATGTTCATAATTAAGAGAAGGTATTTTTATCCATTATTACTCTCTTAACTATATTATGCAAAATTTAATTAACGTGCTTGTATAGCCAATCTTGAAGATCGCATCGTGCCGTTGTCTCGGAAACCCTTCCAAAAAATATACTTGTCGACACTTGCATTCCCCTCATTAAACTCTTATAATAATAATAAAAAATCTTCATCAATTTAATTATCCATAACAATTCAATCAAGTACATTATTCAAAGAAATCTCAACAACATCCTTACGTCAGCATCTTTTATCAATAAAGAAGACTTTATTTAAATATCCTTCCTTTGTTTGCTAAAAATGTCAAAAATTCTTAGAAAAAACTCATCTTTGAATTTTAATGTGAAAAATAAGGGTAACGTCAATATGGAAGGAAAAAAAATAAAAAGACAGAAATAGTAGGAAAAATTAAATAAAATTGTCACGTGAAAAGTTGTGCGCAACATGACGGTACGAGTGATCACAGGGGAATATACCCGAATTGGCATAAAATAGAAGAGAATAGAATGGTGGAGCCTCTAGTAGTGGTAATTTGCATTTGTTGGAATCGAGGTCGGTTTTGCCCATAGGGCATCTGACTAGCTTGAAACTGGGTACAGTCATCGTATCAGTCAATGTTGAGGAGTGGTTTTATAATGTGAAAAGCACTTCATAAAAAGGATTTTCATTATGGGCTTGATGGAAAAAAAAATTTTCAAATAAAGCATTGAAAAATAATACCTTTTACCTTTTATAAAAATGGTCTATTCTGTTTTTTATGATTCTAATTATGTTTCAATAAATCCAACTCAAGCCAATCAATTCATAGAATCAATAGTAATTACATAGAAGTAATTGAATCCGATGAAGTATGAAAGATGAAACAATTTGATTAAGCTTTAATTAGTAATGGTAATTTTGAAAATAGATGAGTTATCAATTTTCATATTGTTGAAAAATAGTTTGTGATTGTTATATACCTTACTTATCTACTTATATAGGATAAATCCGGGTCAGATGGCCATATGGGAAGAGAGATGGCCAATTGAAATAATTTATAGAACCATTGCTGAAAAAAAATTTAAAAACATTTCGATAGGCAATCTCTTCTATATGGCCATCTAACCCAGGTTTATCCTCCCTACGTCTCGTAGGACTAGTGTAATTGATTTTATTTAAGGGAAAGTTGGGAATCTAAGCACTGCAAATTCAAGTGCATTATTGTTACACATTTAAATTTTGTAAATATGACAGCAGCCATTTGATTAACATTGTAGTCACTTTTAGTGCATTCAAACATATTTAAAAAGTGAGTGCAGTATTAATTAAATAGGTAGCATCATTTTGAAACATTTCAAGTGCATTGAGATAAAACACTTTAAAATTAGAAATTTTCAGTGATGATGATTAAATTAAATTAGTTGAGTCTAGTAAGTTGCTAAATAAAATAGGCTGGTAAAGTGTTGATTTAAAACAACAAAAGCTAAGAACGTAAGCTATAGTTTTCTCTTTCTCTTACGAGTTAGTTAGCACTAATATAACGAGTTGTCTGAAGAGAGACTTAATCCAAACTACGTTAAGCTGGTTGTAGAAAGTGACGATATAGTAATGTTGCAGGTGGGATAGTTCTCCATAGTTTCTATCCAGGATAGGTGAAGTACTTCTAGCTTTTGGAGAATTGAGTTCGTGCTTTGGATCTAAAACTTTGCGTGAGAATAACCCCTCGTGTGCGCGCATCACTTTACTGCTCTTTTGCGATTATTCTTTCTCGTCATTTGGAATGCACAAAAAACTTTACCATTCTTGTTAAATCACCATTTTCAAAGTCTTCAAGAGTTCCATTATGCTTAGAGTATTTTAGATTATTTTATCAATTAGTGATCTATTTAACTCCTTTTAAAATCTCAGCAATGTTTTTGCTCGCTTCATTTGATCCTCAAGAACTCAGCAACAGGCATGATAATATTTTTGTTATTGTCGATATGGAATAAAGAAGCCTTTCTTATCAATTCCTTTAGAAGATTTTTATTAAAAGTCGGACTAAAATCAAATGTTAATCTCTATTTTTCTAACCTTATTATTAAAATTGAAGAAGGAATATTGATGGAAAAAATTTTTCAAATTAAATAGAGCACAATATTGCTAGAATAAAATGTAAAATGAGATTTCTCGTCCGCATTCTATTCCCAAGAGAATGATCTGTTGTTGAGTATGTTCGTTCTAGAGGCTCTCTTGACTCTCCCTTTGAATGAGCCACAGTGTGAAAACTCCACATTTGATTATTATTATCGTGCGAATATACGAGGTAATTATTTCCGTCTGTGGTAAATGTTTCCTGCATCGGATATACTTCAGGGCATTTACGCAATATTTATTTTTCACATTCTCCCTATTTTTGTGAAAAAAATTACTTTTTTTGTGATTCTGTTAAATAGGGGAACTTGATCGATAAAATTAAATGATTTATTATTGATAAGTTTAAATAATTCAATTATTAATCTAGTTTATTTATTTAACTATTTTTTTAAGAATTTTACATTTATATTGACATTTAATTTTCAAATTAAATAATGTGCTTGTCTGTAAACATTGTAAATTATCAATAATTAATTATTGATAATTAATATGATTAATATTATTTTTTTTACCTGTATGTAACTATTTTTTTTTTTAATTTAGAGAAAAAAAGCATATTTTCAAAAATTTTTTTAGACAATATAAGTAATGCTGATTTATTAAATTCATTTCCACATAATAATAAACCATCGAAACGATATTTTCTTAAATTAAGTTAAGGAAAAAAATCTAATCGAACTTTCTAACGCTAAAATAAATTATCCAAATGATCAGTTTCTTACCCTTTTCGTTAGCTCAGTTGTAGAAGAGCATTCTTGCGCGCATATATATTAATATTTTTTGCGCAGCAATTTATTAATTTCACGATATACTCACGAGAATATTAAATATAACGCTTATCACGGTTACTGACATACTTTATAGCATTTCTAGTATGTTATTATTATTTATCTAAATATTTCTCCTGGGAGCTTTCCCACGACAAGATTAATTGACAATTGTGATTAAACAAATTGCACTTACCCTCTACTTCGAGTGCCACTAAAATCTGTACAGTAAAGAGCACGAAAGTAATTGACGATTGCATTTTTGAGGATTTAAAAAAATTATTATGTCTGTTTCTTATTGTGTTTTTTTTTCTATTTATTTTTGTAACTCACACTCACACACACTTGCACTTTTTTAATTTTACCAATTCAGCAGCTTATTTACTTTTTTTTAACACACATTTACATTGAACTTCTGAGTGAAACAACAAAACTTGATAACTTATTTTCAATTGAGTATTTTTTTTTTTTAAATTCTGTATTTATTTTTAATTTCAAAAGTTTTTAATCTGTTTTAAAATTTTATTTACAACTTTTTAATCTGTGTTTAGATGCAACTTAAAATGTCTAAAAAATGATTGGCACTCTAGGAAAGATAGAAAATCCTTTTTATTGTTGATTTAATATGAATTATTTTCATAGCTTAATTGTAATAAATAAAAACATGTTAACGAACACACTTTGGCACTAAAATTAATGAATACACTATGATTATCTTTGAAATGATTGGATTAACTTGTAGGTTGAACTTGTTCACAGACAAAATTTAGGAAGAAAAACTTGATAAGAAATGCACCATTTATTTGACAGTTTTAAATGTGAAAAGGCTATCAAGTAATCGCAAATAGAAAAATTTCCACCGACCGGTCGCGATAATAAATAGAGTGTGAGTTGAAATAAATGCGACTGAAACAACGATCTTGCATGACAGCGCGACCGGACGGGGGATACAACCACGAGCAACTGCCGGATAAGGCGAACGTTGAAAGTGCGCTTGCTTCCCCGAAACTGCGCGATCCGTGGTATCGTCGTCGCGCACCTGTCGTTCGTGGGTCACTGCGCATGCCTTCAAAGTGTATGAAACTCTACTGCCTTGCCTAGTGATTCCTACTATGTGAGAAGGAACGATGGATTCCCCTCGGATTTATACAATATCCGGATGCGAGGTAGATTGAGATCGGTGGAAATTAAGATTTTATAAGACACTTTGTACTACAACATACAACACGTTATTTTAAAATTAATCATCTGATGCAATTAAACTGGAATAATCGGATTATTTGGATAATAAACCAGTTTAATTGTGTCATTATATTAAACTTCAACTTTTAATTAAGCTAATTTGCCTAAATTTCCTCGAAATGGATCATCAAATATAAATATTACATCTTTTTAATTATTATTTGCACACAATTAAGTATTTTTTATCTATTTTTTTTTTTTGATAATACAGAAATTTTAAATTGTTTTATTTGAGTTTAATTATACGGGAAATCGAGGAAAATTCAAGCGTTTAGTAATAAAACGCTTAAAGTGTTTGATGATAGAATACTAACGCCATGAGCAAATTATAACATTTTGATAAACGGCAAAAAGTGCTTAAGGCTGAACTGTTCTAACCTTAAATCACCTCAAATTGTTCTTAGCAACACATAAACTATTTATTCGTTTGTATCACGTAAAAGTTGTTTATACATATACAAAAACGTGGCATACAGGGTGGAAAGCAAAGTTTCATAATGCGAGTGCAGTAGTTATTGCATAATTAATTGTTTTACACTGGCCAGCTGATGACAAATACATCCGCCATGACACCTTAAGATTCGTCTACAAAGTTATTATAGTTTGTTTATGGCGTTTAACTTTGTAAACACTGTGAGTGTTTGATTTCGAAACACTTGGATTTGCAGTATAGTTTCTCTAATTATTGAAATAATTAATGATTGATTGAATGTTTGGATGAGAAAATTATCCATGCACTTAGCAATTATTCATTATTCATTGAATTTTAAATTAGATGAATCATGGAATTAATCGAATAAAAATTAAATAAAAAGGTTGGTAGAATAAATGGAATCTATTCGTTTGAAAAACCCCGTTGGATTTTAGTTTTTATCTAATATCTCGTGTTCTATGAACCCTGTAGGATTTTTATGCATACAAATTTAGAAAAGTCTAGATTGGAAATCTTTAAAAGAAGCCCCTCCCACAGTTGATAATTGTAGAGAAAATATGCACCAGGCATTGATGAAGCTGAGTGTAGAATTTGCCTCAAGACTTGAAATTTAAAATATGCTGATTCTTTATTTTTATTGTAAATACGATCTATTGCATGTTTAGAATTATCGATGACTTAATAAAAAAAAATAAAATAACTAATTAAAATTATGATATTATCATGAAAATTATAAAATAAATGTTAAGTGTTTAATTTTCTTATAAAGAACCTTTACTATTTGGAAAATTTTTTAATTTGTTTGAATAAATACCTGTTATCTGTAAATTCTCTTTAACCACTAATCAGTGATAGTTATCATCATCAGGTACGACGCAATCCCTGCATTATTGATAGTAATCTTCTTTAGCTACTGCAGCTTGTACAGTAATTTTTTTATTTTTTTCAGCGCAATAAAATTTTTTTTATCACTTACCGTTAATATTCATGACCTCTTTTATCGTAGTTTCAACCGGTAATAAAGATAGTTTTCCATTAAAAGTTTGAATAAAACGGCGTTGCTGCTAATTCAATGAACAGGAATTACGCGAAATGATTGCAACAATTGAAACAATAGTTTAAGTGGAAAATAGAGATCTAAAGAGATAGAAAATTACACAAACATTTTCTTCTAACATTCAAGGTCATCACTGTATATATTTTTACAGTTTATTTTAAACAAATAAAATTTGTTTAACTATTGCTTCAAAATTTATTTAGTCTCCAATTAAGTTTTTGCCTTCTCTGTAATACTTTCTTCAATAAAATTTCGAATTCAATCATTGTGAAGTTTGTGTAATAGTACAGTTTTTATAAGTTAACAAAAATTCAAATTTCCTTATTAATTTTTGAAATTTTACATGGAAAGGACGATCAATTTAATCGGAATTAAAAGTTTCTTTTCTTTCAAGACGTGCAAAGAAAATTTGTTATTATATTCAATTTACAATATTCAACCAAAAGTTCAACCGTCTATGCAGAAAAAAGAAATCGTTTATTTTCATAAAAAGTAAGAAAACTCAGTTAAGCAAGTTCTTTCGAAGCATCAAGCGTATCGCACTCTTGAGACTCAGCTGTTGCAGTGAGGAAGTTGTTTCCGTACGAGTTAACTATTGTATTTTATGCCAGTAAAAATCATGCATGATAAACCAAGAGGAACAGGACTTCTTCATCATATCATGCAGATATTAAAAACTAGACTATTCTCAACATTAGTATATATTTATTCAAGTATAGTTTGAACTGCAATTTTTGTTATCAAACTTTCTATTTTTTCTTTGTATTAATATTTTTACAAGAGTCAATCAAAATGATGATACCATGTGGTTGAACTTTAGTAAAGGAGCTACAATATTGAACGTTGAATAAATGAAGCATTTTTATTGTGTACACCAGATTAACTTAATTTAATCATCGATCATAATTGTGCTCTATTTATAGCTTCACTGGAAAAAATTTTTAGTCGAGGGAACGATCTAATTAGCAATACTGGATAGCTACATTGTGCCACATAAATGGTGTTTCAATTTAGTTCAGGAAAGTATAGGGAATCACATGTATAACCTGAAAAAAATCGGACGGCATTTATGTCGCCATCTACATTGTTGAAGAATGACTTATGACGTCACACGCTCATAACCTCATCTCTAATTATGTCTAATTATAAAATTATAATATTAATATTACTTGTTTAAAATACTATTTATTATTATAAAAAATACTTGCTTCCAAAAATATTTAATATTTTTGGCTAATTTCTGGATAATATTTAAAACAGCTGCAAAAAATATCTTCCCAAAACAATTACTTCAGATATCGTCAATCAATTATCTAGATAAATCTACAGATATCTAATAAGATAATTAATATAAAGAGTACAGCATTGTTTTTACAACTGCAAATTTTTACCTTTGTTTATTCATTTTTTTATGTAGCATTGTAGGTTTCATTTAATAAAATTGATTGAAAGTTTTTTTAGTTACGAAAGCAATATTTTTAATCCCGGAAATCGGGAAATAAGAGCCAGGTGCAATGAACAATGATAATACACATAAACTGGAAGCCCACTTGGGTTTGACGACGGAGAAACTAAAGGGGAATGTTAAACTATGCAAAGAGGAACAAGAGTGCGATGTAAATGTTAGACTCGTAAAAGAGGGGATGAAAGGGGACGAAGCAGAGGAGGTCGGACTTGAAAGTGAGGGTCGTGCTCAGTTCCGTTCAGCTTTAGCTTCGTATCGTGCGTTTTATAAGTTTGTGTGATTTGTGTCATTTGTTTGTTTCTAAAACGGTAGATGTAAGCACGTAGAACGTCCGTTTAACTTTGTCCAATTGTTTGGTGTAAAGTTGGCGAATAACATAGCGAACATTGTATCTATATCTATATCTATACATATTGTCGCATGTTGTCGTAGGTTTGGATTTCCATTCTCTACTCGCCGGTAACGACGAGGTGATGAGGATGACAAGACATTGGATACTTAATATTCTCCATACATTCATCTACGTATTTATTTGCACATGGCCCATTCTTTTTCATCAAATTCAAGGTAAGTTGTTTTTTATTATTTATTACTAATTTAACTTTGACATTTGTAGCTCATAATTAGGTTAATTAAATTAGTATTGATCGTTAATTGAAATCCTATGTACCCATAATGTAAATAGGAGATAAATGAAATGGTTCCAAAATATATCCGAAAAATATATTTTTTAAATGTATCAATAGTGAAAAAAAACTTTGAAAACAAGAGGAATTTTTTTTTTTGTAATTAAACTCCAAAGTTTTCTGATATTAAATGAATTATTGATACAATTAATTTTCTTCAAATTTAATAATATTTAATGCACCAAGTTTTTTTTAGATTAAAAATAGAATTTCAATTTTAATTCCACACCTATCTATGATGGATTTTTTTTTACAACACTTTTTGAAGTAGAAGTGTCAATTTAGTGTGTTTGATCATGAGTAAAAAAAATTTTCCAAAAAAAAAAAAAATTATTCAGACATTAGCGAAAAGTTATATTTCGAGAGCTGATGGTAAAATATTCATGAAATAGTTGTACAATTTTAACCAGCTTTATGGACAGTGTTTTAAAGATATTAATATGTCGGTATATCATGAATATATACATTCGATGAAAAATTATTATTGTCAGTTTTAGTTAAATATGATTTTGCCTTGACTGTATCATATTTAAATATCAATCTTTTTAAATTTTTCGTATTTTTTCACTCTCATGCCCTCTTCAATATTCCACTCTTAAGCCTGGTTATTCCGAATGCAGTTGGCTGTGATGTCATGATTCCCAGAGTGAACCTCGTGCTATTTTTGGCCGATTCTAAAGCCGTTTGAGTACGACGCCTGTGACTAGTTGATCTCAATCCATTTTACATTAGAATGTACCTATTAAATTGTTCAAAAGAATATTTTTATTCTTGAAAATATGCCGTTAGATATTAAATATAAATAAAGCTTTTTTCTTTTAAATATAAAACAAAAAACATTTTTAACATTTCTACAAAAATATATGTATAATAATTGATATGATTGTGGTAAAAAATATTTTCCTATTTACTAGCTATGTTGAGATGAATAAAACAAAATTAGATTAGAAGTGAAAATGTTAAGTAATCTGAAACAGGTATCACTCGGCATCCACATATTCACTGTAATGTAATTCCAGGACGGAAATGTGGGTGAAATTGTTATTACTGATGGTCATTTATTTTCACGGACGTCTCACAATTGTAGAGTAGGTCGCACCAATGTGACTTAATGACCATCAGCCACAATAAACTATATAATGGATCCTCTTCGTACACTACATGTACACACATTTACCTAGCATCATACTACTGATTGTAGTACTAACCCTTCATTTCAAGTTTATTATCTGGTTATATGTTATACTCGAACTTACATTCCATTCGATCTATTTTCATTTGAATCATAAACATATTCATGCTGCTGAGTAACTTGTGAAATTTCATCAAATTACTTGATATAAATAAAGTTGATATTTCATTTTTTATAATGACATAAAAATGTTCATTTAATTGATAAAAATAATTTGAAATATTCGCAATAAATTATTTTATTAAATTTAACCAAATGTATTATGATATTCGGTTCAGGATTATAATAAGTTTAAATACTAATGATAGTAGAATAGTTCTTGCTTTCTGAGACTCCATGGATCTTAAAAAAAATGATCAATTCAATTGAATAATACTTGGATAATTGTATTCATGGAACTGAGGTTTTGAACATTATAACGAAAATCAATTGATGTAACTTTCAAGACCGTAAAACTTGTCTAGACTATTCTGGATTTTTTTAAATTAATTTTTTTACAGTTAAATATTTTTTATATTCAAAATAATCGAGCACAATAAGAATGTCTCTTTTCAATGAATTATTTTGTGTAAGCATCAGAACTGGATTTTTAACAATGCCAATTCCAAAAAAATATTGCGACTATTTAAAATTCTAAAATTAAGAGAAAAAAAAATATTTCCTGTTCACAATAAATTTTTTTCTCAACGTAGGTTTTTTAAATATGTGTCATACCGGAATTGGAGAAAAAATTTTTGAAATATTAAATGACAATTTAATCTCAGCTGTTGAAATTCAATAGCTATTAAAAATATGATATTCCAGTTTAACGAAAAATTGATACCCTTTACAGAGATTCAGATTAACTATATTGTAATCCTATACCTTAACAGTTTACCACTTGGATCTTGCACGTGCCTTCTTGACTCTAGCTCCGAAATAAAAAAGTGTTCACTTCCTAGCTTTTATCTGTTCGAATATCACTATCAAATTGTTTTAGATTTGGTGAAAAAGTTGATCAACAATTCGACATTTAGGAACAAATTTGATTCAGTATACCTTTTACCAAAGTTGATGAATTGGGTTGGGTACCAATTAATTCTTTTGACTATGGTCGGGCTTGAATGCTTTACGTATATACAATTATTGCGTTAACTGAGTTGAGTCAACAGAGGGTCGATCAATTGGTTTTGTTTTTTTAAAATTACCAAATGTCACTATTCTAATTAAATTTATAATTGAACTACTAGAGATATTTAAATAAAAAAATTTTTTTATTTCAATCCTGTATTGTAATTTAAATGATGAAAATAAATGACAAAAGCAATTGTTGTATTTGATGTTTTCATGGTAGAACAATTTACAATATGAATGTGAACATGTTATTTTTATAGCATTAATTGATTTAATCGTGTTTGATAAATATTTCAAACACATTCTCACTCGGTAGTTCATTGAATTGATATTAATTGCTTTTCATTCGTTGATTTCCTGTCTAGTCAATTAACATTATCAATAATTATTGTTGACAATGCATCAAGTGATACTCAAAATTCATATTTTACTTGTTTTATTACACCTCAACTACAAGTATTTATCAATATTTTATAAATTAACTATTGTGTATATTATCCTATTATAAAGAGACTGTTGAAGTGTCGATATCATTGAAAATAAAAAGAGAAAAGTTCGTAGAAAACTTCGTAAGATACATTTACAAAATGTCAGTTGATTTTGCAAATATTTTATAGGTTTTATTAATCAGAAAACATGACATATGGTTATATAGAACATTTTTTATCGGGTTGGGAAGAAAGTTTAAAAATTTTAATAAAAATTAATTGTCACCAATCTAAGGACACAATAAAAAAAATTCTCTCATAAAAATTAACTATCATCTGTATATATGTATGTGGCTTGATCAAATCTGAGAATAACTTCATACGTGCCATATGGTGTTCATCCTACTTTTTGCGGTTTCCGGATAACCTTCAAGCTGCGTACTCATGTTATGTCTGTTTTTTGTCTCCTAACATAATACGGACAAAATAATTCTCATGTATGGTCTGTTCTCTCTATTTTAATCATAATCATTTTTTATACTTGCAACTGTTACCAGAAGTTTAGTCAGTTTTTTGCCAATTTCGTTTCATTTAGATTAGAAGTCTGAATTTTGATTTTTCTTGTATTTTATTTCTGAATGTGATTTTATGATTTTATTTCTGAACATATCAAAGGAAAGACTTTTCTTGATCTCTATATGTATATTCAGAAGCACTCAAGCATTGAATACATCGCTCCAATGATCATCAAGCGCATGCGTACTGCTTTTTACAGTATTATGTATTATTTTCTTTCACCTTAATTTTTTAAATATGATAATTTCTATTTTAAAATTAAAAATACATTCCTATTGAATAAAAGAATAATCATAACGAGCAACTTGTAATCGTTTTAAAAAGTATGATAAGGACTTTTTGTAGGTACAATATATCGTATTGTTATATACGGCACGTGCGATTATCGTCACCGGAACCGGAAGCATAGTCGAGTGCTTTCCCACCTGGATCTTTCGTCCAGGTTTGACGGCAGGGGGTACATACTTTTACTAAATTAAACCAACTATAACTGTCTGGTACATTTTTGAATTTGTTACCGAGTTATTGACTACTTTTTAACGATTGGAAGTTTTATATTTTTTTTTTTTTTTTGGTAATAACTTATCCAGGAAGTTAATTGTATTATTTTGAATATCATTATCTTCAGGGGGAGGGGGGAATTTATTTAACTGTTCCTTTTGTCATATATTTATAAGATGAATAACAACTGACTTAGTTAGATCATAAATATTTGTCTATGTAGTTATTTGCTTTTCTCTGTTACCGAGAAAATATGTAGGCAATTTGGCCAAAAAAATTACAACACGTTTCTTATTTAATCTAGTAATTTGTGCAAACTTCTTTCATCATTAATTCCTAGGGTGCGGCTATTTATTCAATACGTGTGTAATTTTATATACTATTAGTTTTATTGTTTGATAATGAAATTTTATTAATAGACCTTTTGTTGTTGAGTGAATCAAGATCTATATTAAATATATGAATGATTAAATTTTTTTTTTTTTTTAATATTTTTTAATCCGAGTTGAAATCTGGATACCTGTTTAAGTCCTTTTGAAGTCAGTTTTAATATTTAAAAATGTTTTCGGTCATAATTCATTTCTAATTTTTTTCCAACTAAATAAATAAAAATAAAATTTTTAATTTTAGTCATATTATTTTTGCATAAACGAAAAAATTTGTCAAACCAGTACCTCCCTAGGGTAAAAATAACAATATTAATTGATTTTATTGTTTAAAATAATTATAAATACGTTAAAAAAAAGAAAACTTGGATTAAAAAAAAATATTGATGATTTCGTTTAATTTTTTTGATTTTTTATGAATAATAATTGGGTAATTTTAAATTCTTAAAAATAAGCACTTTAAAATATTAAAAAAAATTCCTAAGAGCTTTTGATTTTATACAATTTATAAAATTCAAATTCAGTCGGTAAAGTGTTATTTTATTTTTTCATAATAAAATTTTAAAAACATTTTCAAGTGAATTTGCTTTTATCATTATAAAAACTGAACGCGTGGCGACAAAAGAACAAGTTCGCATGACTCGCGATCTACTTTACGACACATACGTGACTTTAGGGGATGTTGAAAAATGGCAAAATGACAAAGTCAATGGAAATAAGATTCTTTTCGCTTGTTTTTGTTTGACTCTTGAACCAAAGTCAATCTTATTAGAATTAAATAGATATCCATCTGTCTGTTATTACTTTCTACGATATATATCAATCGGTGAAATGCGCCAATTTTATATATAATATCTCTTAGGAATAATAAATGGTAAAGAAATGAGACTACTTTTTTGCTGTGTTGAAAAGAAATATTACAGAGTAATAAAGTCATTAAAAACATAGCCAGCTTATAGACGGCATATGTTTGTAGCCTGTTTACTACTATTCGTGTCCACATCCACCATTTACTATGCATGTGCATATAAGTACACTTGGTGATATCACAATCGCTGTTTAATGGCTCTATTCACGCAAAGTGCCATTCGATCAGTTGTAAGCTAAAGCCTCGACATGTTGACCGTTGGTTCAAGACAAATGAGGTTTTCCTTCGAAATCTTTCACCCCATTTGACAACTATATTCACACGATCACCTATCATATCTTTATAGAGTTAAATATTTAAGTCTTTATTGCTCTCTGACAAGTTCACTTATTTGTTGCTATCATTTTTATGAGCTTTGTAAAAGCAAAAAAAAAAATATATAATAAATCCCTCCGATAAGACGTGTTCTTATTCTTTTTAACTATCATCTCCAGAGAAGTTTGAATTCTCAGAGAAAAATCTCAGTGAATTTCGGGTTTTCTCAGTTTGACGTACAAAGAGAAAAGTAAAAGAACTTTTGAAACAACGAAAACTTTTTGTGGTTACACAACTAACATACTTTCTTCCACTTTCATTCGGTGGTGCTATATAGCGCAAAGAGGAGTCTCATCTAGAGGGTGAACCATCTAATCTCCTTTTAGTCGTGACTACGCAGAGCACTTTGGAGCGGATCTCAAGTAAAGATTGCAACTTACGTGAAGATGGTGTAGAGCATTTATACCTATACTTTTAGTAGCTATTGGGTTATATTTGGAGAAGAAAATCGTCATGATAAATGTTTAAACTCTTTACGACTTTTAATGCATAAAAAAATAATAATAGTTTAATTGTTTATTTTATTACTGCGAAGTTATTTAGTTGAATAACTTATTCAAATAATTAATTTTTTTCCTTATAATATTTATTTTTATCTTACTATGTTCATTTTCGGTCCTTTATTATTTTCCAATATAAAATTTCTTATTTTGTATTAATATTCAATCTTAAATATTTTTAAAATATTTTTGCCCATCACTGCTATAAAGATTACATTAAAAGTATTTAAATGATGATAAGAGGTGAATGAGAATCGAATGTTGTCACAAGCAGAAAAATGTGAACCACAATCCTAGGAAATAGCGCAACTCAATTACTGAATGGAGTAAAATACTCGATGGGCGTGGGTTTCTTCAACAGATGAAGACATAGAGGCTACCAAACATGCAATCACAGCAACTGCAAGACCTTACGACGTACACGAGCTCCATGTATTTAAGCGTAAGTGTCCAACAAGAGTAACGCGTCTCTCTCATGCTACGTGAATTATAGCTATAACAAGGCTCTTATAATTTGAATCCCTTATGCCTTACTGCCGGTTAAGCCGACAAACGTTCAAGGGAGGAGCAAGTTAAATATCTTAGATTGCATAACACCTTGGTAGTCTAATGTTCAACCCCTTACTAATGACTAGAATAAAAGACTGTCTGTGAATTTTGATAGATGAATATTTTGCTCAACATCTCCTCTTTGATTAAATCAAGAATAACTGTATTCAATCGATTACTGTAAAAGAAATCGTTTTTACTCATCAGCTATAATAGTCTTCATTCATCCATTTTAGTAAACGTAAAAATTTAAGGCCCTGAACCAACGGATACGTTTGCAAAAAAATTGTAAAAAGGTGCAAAAACGACTTTTTTCCTTATATCTCTTCAACGGTTAGGAATACGAGAAAGAGTTTTAAATAAAAGTTAAAAAAAACTAAATTTTCTACAAAAAAGGTCAAATGACAATTTTTTGTACTTCTCATATTTTTTGCACAAATCGTGTGTTAAGTAATAAAATATTTAAAAAATTATTTATAAGTTACAGATAATTTTTAGAAAAAATAAAACCAATTATATTAATTATTTATATTAATTTTTGAAATATAAATGCGTCAATAGACATACGTAGTACGTAGAATGGCTTTTGTCATTTGTTGCTATTTGATGCCATAATATCAACTGTCAGGCTACAAAATCTACATACATACAAACATGCGTCATGTATAAAAGCCATTTCAAGTTCTATCCTTTTAGAAGCTACATAATAAGAGTATACATATATCACATAAAGAGTACTGGCGTCTCAATGTCCGGAACCTGAAGGATACAGCCTCAGAAAGGTGTCGGATAATGTTGAATTTATGCATTACTACACTTTTTTCCTTGGTAACAAACATTTTGTAAGTTTCAGTAGTTGCTGACGTTTTAAAATTTAAGGCTCCCTTCAACCCTGGAAAAACGCTCTATCTCTCATAGTTTCCATAATGTTTATGTATGTGTGCGCATTATGGACAGACGAATTAGAATATGAATAGTCCAACATTCATCTAAATTCGTTGAAAAGAATGCACATTTTAGTATTTTGTGTTTCATTTATTAGATTTAGTGAAAACTCTAGTCAGTATCTTGTTAAAAAAAACAACCTTCCAAGTCGATAAAAAAGTAGTTACGGAGTCGTTGAGAAATGGTTGAGAAAGAGAATAAGAAAAAAGAGAGAATCATTTGCATACAACCAACTTAATCGACGTCAACACCTACTCTACTGAACGACAACCAACTAATAAGAAATTTTTTAATATGATATGCAAGTTTCATTCAAAATATATGCAAAAGTAAATTAATCCTATCATAATAATTAAAAACATTATCAAATTTTTGAATTAAACATTAAAATATTCTTCCTAATTAAAATATGTTTATAATATAATTCATATATTTTTATCTATCGAATAATAATAATGATAATAACGCTACAGAGAGCTTATGGAGATCATGAGAAATGTCTATCACGATTATCAAGCGCACATAATAGTTCTGGTGATTGGCACCCTCGGAGGGATGAGGGACTGTTTTCTGACAGAGCTGCAAACAATACCAGTCTGTCGTAGTCAAACTGGAATTCTCGCAGCTTGTATACAGAAAGCAGTCATCCTTGGGTCCCTCTAAATCCTGAGACGACTGACTTAACGTCTGAACGGCTATAGCCCTGACTTACCTTCAAACCTAAGGGAGCCAGGTGTCTGCAGGATAACGTCTGGTCAGGCCCCAGATGGGTCAGAGTCTTGGAATCCCTGACCAGACATTTTCGAAAAAAAATAATAATAATTTTCATAAATTATGTTTATTTACTTATTACTTTTGTTATTAATTTTAATTTTAAATTTGTTTCAGAGAGTACACAACTGATAATAAAGTCAATCAATGTACCACCATTGGTGAAAGCAGGGGAAGTAGATTACGTGATATTAGATTGTGATTATGATCTTCAAAATGTATCAAGCGATGGATTAGTTGTTAAATGGTATTTTAATAATGATAATGTGGAATACCAATGGATTTACGGACATGAACCTCGAGCCGATCCCAGTGCCAGTCATATTGATGTTGGATACAAAGCTAGTGATGATCCTTACACTATGTATAGAGCCATGAAATTAAACAATCCAACTATTAATCTTACTGGAGATTACAGTTGTGCAGTATTTACATATTATGATGAAGAAATAGCAGAAGCTAGTATGATTGTTTATTGTGAGTATAAATCTTATTAACAATTCTAAAAAAAAAATAAAATAGAAATAAAATATCTTTTAGATAAAACTCCAAGTTATTATTCTAAATTATTATTAATATTGTAGATAGTTTAAATTTATTTAACTCGGTGAATGTTTTATTAAAGTTTGATAAATATTACCGAGTGAATGATTGAATAGAGTAGAGTAGAGATAAAGTTTTAATGTCTTTTAATAAATTTATCATTAAACTGTCGAGAATTTTTTTATCACTTCATTGTTCATTTTTGAGTTTTTGATTTATTTCAGCTACAGAAGAAAAATTTGATTTGGAACATCGAAAAAAAATAATCAACGGTAAAGAAGGAATGGAAGTGACGTGCCTTGCAGAAGGGTTATATCCACAACCAACAATGGACATCACTGTCAAGTAAAATTTCACAATCAACAATTATTATTTTTGTCCACTTTTGTACCAAAATCACTATTAATCTCTCCAAGTGACAATCATTTTTATTGAAAACATTCTTCCAGTGATGTTCCACTCAATCAGACGGAAAAACCAGATTTAATAATGAGGGAAGATGGCAAATATGATATCATACTCCAAGTGGCTATGAAAGATGAAGATTTACCAAATGATGAAGAGATACTTGTTAAATGTAATCTTAATATACCACGAGCTAATTACACTCGAGAATTAGTATACTATGCTGGTTAGTAAACATTCCAAACAGTTACTTGCTTCTTTATTTTACCACGTTTTTAGACTTTATTATGCTTTAAATTTTTTTTCTGATAAAACTCGATCAAAATTTACTAGTAGAAAATACTTTGAAAGATTTATTATGCATCATTTTATTTATTATATGAGGGTAAGTTTTTTTCGTGATTTTAATAATTTGAAAACCGTGAGTATTGCTTATGTAGTACCATTGCTTTGACAGATTAATTTAATTAATAAGATCATAAACAACAGAAAAGGTCAAACTCATTATAAATTAAAACGAAACCTTTTTAATTATTTTTATTTTATAACACACAATTAGAACATAGATAACACTTGAGTGAATGACACTAACTGGTAGGCAACAAAAAAAAAACACAAAAACGATGAATGAATTTAGTATGAAATGATACAACGGTAGACCATACTAGATATCCAGCTGTATTATTGCTCATTATTCCTTAATGCTTTATATTACCTGATAGACGCGGTATGTGGTATTTGTTATACAGGATTGCCAACCAGTACCCCTTCAGTAACGACGAATTTGCTGCGAAAAATGGAGATCCAGGCAATAAACAGCTCAGAGCCGGATACTGACAATGGTGGTGGTAAGATAAGTCGTAGTCTTTTTCTTTTATTTTCTTATTCTATCTCTTTTTTGCCATTCTGAAAGTATCTTCCTTTTTTGGTTTCTATATGTATACTTTTTTCCATTAAATTATACCACATTGATTTCTTAGAAGCATTTCCTCCTGAATGCTTGTTTGATTTTTGAATAATAATCACCCTCTTCCAACACCACCATTGCCATCATTACGACACAGTGTGAGTGACAAGTGAACTATTTTTCAATTTAAATATGCAGTTTTTTTTGCTATCAAGTTTTTTATATTTATTTGAGTGTTTGAATTTTACTGCATGAAAGTTTTTTTTAATCGATTTTTTTATTTTATTCTAAATTTAAAAAAATTAATATTTTATCTACCCTCGTATATTCTATATCTTGTCTCTCTTATTTACCACACTCTTGTTAATCTGAAATTCAATGTCATCTAGGGTGTAGCTTTTTTTCTTGATAAAATTCTGATGCCAGTCCATTTATTTATAATTTATTTTTTAAAGACTATTATGAACTATTTTAAATCAAGAAAAAAAAAATAATACTGTACAATAATTATATGTCTCCATCTATATGATGATGATGATGATGATTGATAAACGACGGAGATTGTTGTCAGCAATGCTTGACCGAGTTGTTTATGTTGATTTACGACAGAGACTAGTGCACATCAGACATTTTTCTCAATTTAAACTGTTGAGATATAATACCGTACACAGGAGACTGTTGTCTCTCTCCTGGACAGGTGTTGGCTAAGATGGGTTACAATGCCCAGCAATAATTAATGGCGACATTCTTCTTTCGATAAAGGGTTTGACGTCACATAGTAATAATCAAGTGTCAATTTCATAAGTCAATAATTAAATTAATCCTGAAGATAAATTTATCCATAATTGTTGACCTCATTACCAATAGGATAGTTTTCCATATTTTTACAAGATTGGAGCAGAAAGAGGTCATGTGGAGCTCGAAATCTGCCATCTTGATACACTTACCAATCAAAAATACTAATTAATTAATTTTTTAATAATTAAACTTACCTAAAGTAATCTTTGAAATTATCTTAAATTATTATCTACAGTAGCATGGAATAAAATAAGAATAATGATAATTGAATAAAATTAGACGTGAATTCATCAATATTAAATGATAAGACTTAAAAAATAATGACTAAATCACTAGATAGCAGTCATAGAGAAAGTGAAGTCAAGTTGAAATAAGCATATAAATATTTTAAAGCATAAGTGAGCTAAACTCTGAAAGTAGTATAGCAGGAAAAGGTATGAGACGAAGAAAGAGATGGAGAAAGAGACATGGTTTAGGAGATTCGGTGTACTTGTAGGTTTCGAGTTTGCCATGCGAAGCAATATACCTCCGTAGAAAGGAGCACTAGCACTATCCGTGTCACCGCGGAAGTTGCTTCAGCAGCCAGGTAATGTAAAGCCGTATTAACACATGCCCAACTTTAGCTATTTATTAGTCTACCATGGTAATGCCATCTGATGAGCTAGAAGATCGAGTGGCTGCTCTCTCTTGATTTTACCCTTAGGTTCTCTGTGCTTTTCACTTGATATCCTCCCGCATCTCTCGAGTTCATATTCACTTGAATATCAAGTTTATATCTGCACAGATGCAACGAGAGCTCTAGTAAATTTTCCAAAATTGTGCTGCAAACTTTCAGAATCTATTAATTTTCATATTCAACTTAATATGAATGAAGTTAAGAAGAAATTCGAGGGCACTTATATATATTTCACAATCCACAATACAGACGATAAAATTTTATGAAAATAATATTATTTCTTTAAAAAAAAAAAAAAAAAAACAAATAAATTATGCTAATTTAAATTTCTATAAAATAATAATGTCAAGTAAATAATTGAAAATTATTATCATAATAATTTATTCTAACGTATGTAAATGAAAAGTGATAAATATGTCTTATTTTTCTTAGAGCAAGGAATCTTTATTATTGTCAGAGAAAATAGCGGTAGACTAGAGATAAGACGGCAGAATGGAAGAAGTAATTAAAGGTGGAGAGTTAATACATTTGAAATAAATTCATGGAGTATTTAAAACGCGTAATGCGTTAACTCTATCCTTTATCTTTTACCTTTTTTTTTCTTATCCATTTAGTTTCTATATTCAACTGATTTCATTCCCTTTTTTCGAGTCACTTCTAGGGTGGATGACTCGCGAGTAAACTGCCACATCGTATTTCTTCTCATTTCACAGGAAGGATCTCTTGTTTCCTTTAGCGATTTTACCGTACTATTTTTGTTGGACGTTTTCCACTTTTCTCAGTTTTCTTCATTTTTTTACACTGTCTACCACCTCATTTTTTCATTTACTTTATTAAAACAGTTGTTATTCTAATTTTAAATAACCATTAAGCTCTTTTCGAATTAAATATAATTACTCTAACAATAATAAGTCTTGCACAGAAAAAAATTTACTCTTCTTGTGTTATAATATTTACCACTATTATGCAGTAATTTGATACTCACGTAAGGTGAAAAATGTCTTACTTTGGAGTAAAAATTACTCTACTTTAAAGTAAAAAAATTCATCACGATCATTGTGTCCCACGATGACTTAACGGTAGGGTAAATTTTGTAGAATATTTTGAGATTTGTACCAAGTGTGATTCTTCTGTAAAAAATTGTCTATGAATAAATAGACTGTTAGATAGCTGTATTACCTTTGTAATGTAATTACATCTTTTACCCTTATTAATCTGCAATTGTAGGCTTTTTCTCGTTCTTCTTTTGGCATTACCAAATTGAGTGTGTGTTCATTGCGGCGCAATTCCAGCCGGCTAATTCATTTACGCTAGTGGTTCAGTTACGTGTCCTGTGCTAGTGCTTTTCAACGTTTCCTTTTGCCAACTGCGGACGATCTGTGATATTTAATGCTTTCGTGGTTTTCTGCAATTGGATAAATCAACTGTGGAATGTTAGTGGTTACCCCTAAAATGTACTCTGTAAATTTTAGGTTGAGATTCACTATTTGATTTTTTAGTCATCAAAGAGACTCACGCTTTTAATTAAGTTACAGATAATCACTTTATCAAGAGTGCGAACATCTTGAATGTTTTATCAATCTGAAATGAATCATTACAGAACCAAGATATTCTTAAGGTCTTAATAAATTTAATTCTGATGAATGAATTGAAAAATTTTTTTTTAATGTAAAAATATGAAAATATATTTATGAAAATGAATAAAATATGATTATGCAATCTGAATGGCAATAAAGCAAAAAAGATAATATAGAGTTTGATTCATTGTAAAAAAAACTTTCATATACATTAAATGTGTAAAAAAGTTGTAATGGTAGTAAACAAATATATCATTCATCATCACGCAACAGTCGGAATATTCTTTATTCTTTAAAATCATAAAAAAAGATGCATTCTCTTCATAAATATATAGCTGTATGATTTATGATTTAAAATGTAAGTTTTTCTCTCATATACACAAATAATCGTAAAAGTTAATCTGGTTGACGTTTAATAAAATATTTGAAATAATGCAAGCACCAAAAAGTCAACCACATTAGGAGTAGCTTGAATTTTTGGGTTGAAATAAAAAAATATGTTTGTATATAGATTTTAGAACAGATTATTTTTTTTTCTGCATTCAAGAATTAATTAAATATAACTCGGGGAAAAGTTGGGATGCAAAATAGTACGATCGATAATAGAGATATAGGTAAATGTACAGCTTTAGAGAACGTGCACATATGGACATCTGTGTCCATTATTCCAGCATCCCGATAGTTTCACCGTTTGGCGGCCCCATCAATTCCACCCAGTACGTGGCCCGTTAAATTTTATCTGCCTCGCCTACCATCCGGCCTCTACCCCCTTTACTACGATTCCACCGTACTTAAATGTATTCGTACATGCTAAATCGTCAGCGAGAACCAAACGACTTCCGTTCGTGCCTCAGCTCCGTATATGGTTTAGTTCACTATAGTTTTCTAGAATATTCCCTTGTCTAGTCTATCAATAGCAAATCATCGATTTCGCGTTCATGGTTTAATTCCTCTTGGGATTGTAATTATCTTTTATTAGTGGTATAATTTCACTCTAATGTTGTTAAATTACTTTACTAATGTTCATGATAATGATTTTGTTGCAGGTGGCATTGCTCCCAATTTCACTGTTAATTTTGCGTTAATTGTTGTTACATTCTTTACTCTGAGCCTCATCCATTGATGATCAACATCTTCATCAAGGTAAGTTTTTTTTATTTTCATTTAATTTTTTTATATTGTAAAATAGATGAAGGGGAGATCGGGCTAGAGTGGGATAGTTAAGAAAAAAAACTGTTTATCAAAATTTTATATTGCCAAAATATTTTTGAACGCTACTGTACATCACTACTATACATATAATTTCAGTCCATTTTTGACCTCAACATTGTTGTTACGTCCGCTTTAACAAAGTCGAGGTTAAAAATGGATCTTATAAAATTTATTTCGAACCTCGAAAATGTATCAATGTCATTCAAAGAATATTATAAAAATTTATGATGGCATTGATGACCAAACTAAGGTTCTTTGGATCAATTTAAGACGTAAAATTTTTCAATGAGGTTGATGATTCTCAAAAAGGAATTAAATTATAGGCGAAATCAAAGGAAATGAAGATTGTAAGTTGAAACTGGAATTTAAATTTAGTCTCTCGGGTCAGAAAGTAACATTTGTGATTAAACTTTATATAATCAACTTGATTTGTTGACTAAATTGAATATTGTTAGTAACAAATGATTAATTTTAATGATCATTCGATATTATTATTTACAATACAACAGTAGTAATAATAATGATGATAATAATAACAATAATAATGATAATGAATTGAGTATATGGTATTCATTTCGTTGTATTTAATTTACAATATGTATTATAATTATTAACTAATAAAAAAAAATGTAAATTTTTTATGATGAATATTTTTTTTCAAAATTTATATTTGCATTAAAACATCCACAATTTTTATTAATATAATTATCGTAAATACGATAATTGGTAATTTAAAAGTGTATTTGAATGAGTTTGATACGTAATTAATTGATTCACTGCTTTTAACGAAGATAATTGAATGATGATATAGCTATAGGAGCTATTCTATTAAACAAAAGTTACACAGAGTGCAATAATGAACAAAATTCCATTTTTAATATCACTTAACATGAATTACAATTCAATTAATCCAAGAACAGCGAATGAATAAATTCAATATAAATAACTTATATTTTTTAGAATAACCAGTCAATTATATTATTCATTCAGTGATAATAAATATCATTAGAGTACATAAAAAATAAAATATTTAGACAGTATAATGAGATTTTTATGATGAAACGAAGGCAAATTTTGTTATCTAAAAGTGAAATAATTGAATTTACGTCACTTGAGTAGTTTATATTCAATGCTGTACGTGCAATGAAGAAATAACACAGAATAACTGATATTTTGATGAAAAAAATTGAAAATATTAAATTATCAGAATAATATGAGACTTGAGGGGAAAAAAATTCCAAAACAGTAGTAATGAAAATATTGAACGCATCGTTAGATAGGATTTCACAAGAGTCGAGCACGATTAGATTATATAATCCTCGCTATAGTTGTTTATCTTCATTTAATGAAACTTTGTGGCAGACGATTATCGTTATACTTTTACTGGAAAATTTTTTTAAACTTTGTTCTTTATCAGAAAAATATAAAAATCTACTCATAAACAAATTAATTATAAAATATTTTGGTCGTTAAAAATTTTTATTTTTTATTATTTTCTTTTATGCTGAACAGTTGAATTTTTTTTTATAGGATCTATTAGTTCCAATAATACGATTATAATACAATTCATTTTATTCCAATAATAAAATATTTCTCTTTTCAATTTACAGATTTAATGCAGCAATTCACTATGACTCACAATGGGATGGTTCGATCATCAGAACTGGCAATGAAACCAAATTCAAATATTCGGCGATTAAGTTCTTTTTGTTTTATATCATGCAACAAATTTAAAACTCATTTTTTTTTGTAAAAAAAAAGGATATATTTTTTTATTCTTTTTAATCTAATATTCATACGAATTTAGAAATAATTGAAATGATAAGAATTATGATAATGAAATATGAGGTTCTTTTTATCCCGTGAGGTACAAGTACAAAGTGAAATTTAAATTTAATTACATTATATTTTTAGAGTATCTTTCGATAAAATGAAATAGAACTAAAAATAAAAAGTTTACCGCGAAAGTAAAATTAAGGTCAACTACTTTGTCTGTATTACGTGCACATACTCTGTTAAAACAAAAATTACATTTAAAGATTTTAAAGTCGATAACTATCTATTTAGTAGCCAAAGAAGATCTAGTTTTTTTTTTTTTACAATAAATAAGTTTTAACTATTTAAAAAGTGATTCAACATTTTGATTTTTTTTTTACATTATATTTTGATAAATACACACTAATAAACTTGTCATAATACCAAAAAATAAAAAAAAAAAAAATATGAAAAGAATGTAATTTGCCAAAAAAAAAAAAAAACTTTAAATAGAGTATTAAGTTATATTGTATAAATACGTTTTACTAATTATAATAAAATATTTAATGAATATTGTAAATATGGTGAAAAAAAGATCAAGAAGTTATTAGTGTACTCATAAATAATTGTACAGTATAAAAATGAAGTTTGTAAAAAATTTTGATCACATGAAAATTAATTTATTGCTTTTATATCACTGGAATAATTCCATAAAATATTGTAATATAATAAATAAATATAAACCTCTTTTTATTTTCGATAATTGTGTAAAAATAAATTTGTGAATCAATTGGTTCAATGTAATAAAAATCATTTAATAGTTAGAAATAAAATTGGATATCTCGTTATTGTATTAAAAATTAGAAAGCACTTATGTGATTCAATGTTGATTAAATTTTTTTAGATAATTTTCAATCTAAGCTTAAAACAAATTCAATAGTTAGCTAAATATTATTTGAAAGGAGAATTAATTGAACAATTGACCTAGTCTAATATGTCATTAATAAGTTCATGATATTTGCTATCAATTTCAGTAATTGGTTATCAGAGAGATGAAGAATATTCTTTTAATATAGCTTAATGTATAAAACAGAAATTAAATTATCGTCAAAGCAGACACAATTTTCATTTTGTAGTCATATTTTTAAAATTTATTGTGAGTTATCTCTATTTTTCTCATAAAATTAAAAATTATTATGATCATTCTCTACTTATAAAAAAGAAAAAAAACGATTTGTTGTGTACATATATATATAAATTATGAAATGCCAACTAATTACTGAAGTTAATAGCTTAATGTTGTAATCATACCAAATGTTTATATAACTGTAGCTCACTTTGTAGTATATTCTTATTATTATCAATGTTTATGGAAAATAAATGATTATGAGAAGTTTATCAAATTATTCGTCACGTTTATTGTCATTTTTGTTATTATTAAAGGAGACAGAGGAGAGTTGTGGTAGAGGAGAATTGAAAAGGTGAGTGCGAAAAAATTCCAACTCACAAACTTGAAATTTCAAGTTTTCAAGCTTCGAACATCCATACAAAAAATTCCATTTTCTACCTATAATTAGTAACTGGATCTGTGCATTATTATTTTAGAAGTTGTGTTGTGTAATTATACACTCACAAATTTTCAACTTTTCAACAAAAGTAAAAAGCAAATCATAGATTCCGAAACATCAATTTTGTCCCAACTCTCCTCAGTTTCTCCTGAAAAATTGTATTATGAACGCTCTTGATTAAATAATTTCATTACCTGCATAAATTAATTCAACATCATTAAAATGATGATAGAAAAGGCATTCCTGATAAACAACTGAAGAATGCGTTATTAAAATCATGAATTTGTATATCCATTTCATTGGAATTATAAAAAAGTTTTTAATTAAAATTAAAAAAAAAATTGATAACCAGATGCTGTTGTTGTACTGGACAATTAAAATGTCATGGAATGTAAAAAATTATTGGAATTGTTAAAACGGTATTTTGGTGAGAAGACAATGACATGTTTGACAGGATAAATTTTTGCGTGCAAACGAAATCGTCTCAAGGATTCCGTGCGCAAGCTCCAGAAATTCGCGCAAACTCCTGGAAAACGACATTGGCAAGCTGCCACGGTTACAATATCAGTTGCTCGTGTTCAATTCTGCGAGCACGTTCTGCCTTACTTCTTATATTGAATGACGGGTAATTTATTTCAAAAATACTCTTCCAAGTCTTAAATTAAATTCAAATAATTCCTCCAAGTGAAATTATATTCCGTTTTATTAATTAAAAAAAAAATGCTTAATAGTTTTATGAAAATATATTTATGTTTATGTTACATAAGATAGTGATTAATATTTTTTAACGAATTGAATATTAAAATTTGTTTATTTTCAAACAATCCTGTGATCCAAAGGTATAAGTGATCAACTGCTTTAATGTACAAACTGTTTTAATAAAAGATAAATATTTAAGTGAATTTTTTTTTATGTTTCTAGAAAGTGATAAATAATTAATTCTCTTCAAAGTTGATGTATAATGGGGTATTTTAACGAAATTAAATCATCAATAAATTTATAATATTCTCTGATAACTTAATTATGAGTCTATTTTAGAAATATTAATTAGAAAATTAAAAGTTTTATTAAGTGAGTGAATATGGATAGCCAGTTGCTGTTGGATCTTCTTATTGTTGTGATGTGTAGTTTAGTACTTAGAGGTGAGTAATAATAAACATTTTCTAATAAAAATTATAAACTTCTGTTAAAATTATTATTTAACTATCCTGAAATTAAAAGTTTTTTTTTGCAAAACTTGATATTGTTACAATAAAGATTTATCGTCTAGACATAAAATTTAATTTTCTTTCATATAAAAATCAATGTCTCTCGAGAATCAACAGAAGAAAACACATTCGATATGAATCAAAAGTTTTTATAGGTCTAACTGTTATGCATTGAAACGATCACATATTTTCTGTAAACTTACTGAATAGTTACTTTGCTAAGAGTTAATTCCCAGATGTATTCTTGTATAAATATAATCATTACTTTCTGAAAATTATTAACACAAGTTTAATTGTTGAATAAATTGAACAAATAAAATTTCAACAAACGAAATAGTATAAAAAACTTGTTTTCAACATCCATGTTTTAGTGTAAATAAAACTATTTATTTTGAGAAGTTTTTTATTTTCTCTGTACGTTGGTGCAATTTGAATGTGCTTTCATTCGAATAAGGTCGGTTATTGGATGCTGGCAGATTTGAGCTTGTGATTGAGTATTTGATCCTATTGACCGGATAGTTCAATGACTAGTAGAAGAAAGAAAGTAAACTTTTCACGATATATACATATATGTAGTCAAACAAAATAATAGATGTACAGAATATATTCTTTTCTATCAAAAGACTTTTATTTATTTACACATTATTTTCATTGAAAATTATTGGTCAGGAAATATAAGTTTATTAAATTATTTTTTCTGGTTAATAAATTGTGTACATCCAATTATGAGTTAGTTGATAAATTCTCATAAAAAGTTTCGCTTTAACAAATATTTGTTTTTAAATTATATTATTTAAAATAATCATCAGCTCATATTTTTCCATCCAATGGGAGTAAGTTAAAAGAGTTTTTTCAACTTTCCATTAGAAAATTATTGTAATGGGGTTGATTTTTGAAATTCGTAATTTTGTCATATTTTAATGTTTTGAGATATCTAAAAGCATATTAGAAGGTATAAAAATGGATTTACATACGTACGTACGCTTGTACGTATGTATGTGAGGTTTTTTTTTGTTTTCGATATCTCGAGAATCACTGTAGATATCGACTCTGGACTAATTTCATTTGAACGATAATACCATGAAAAAGATCTAAAGGGAGTTTTAACAAATTCGTTACAGCCATTTTTTTTATAACCAATGAACTGTAAAATAAAATGAAGTAAAAGGCAATTAAGAATTAACTTTGTTGTTAATGGCGTCAGATGATTTCTAACAATAATACAATGTTTATAACAATTTATATTTGTTATAAATAATTATTAAAAACAATGATAATAAACGGTCAATGAGAATGGGAATTATGTTGTCTTGACACATAGAGTACCCAGACTCATTTTGTTTTAATTTGTGAACGAATGAAAAAAAATGGATAAAATTTCCAATTGATAAAAAATATGATGAAAATAATTAGATATTTAATAAATTGCAGAAAAACTCCAAGTTGCGTAATTTCTTAACGAGATGTAATAAAAAAGTTAACTACCGCATGAACTTGAGTAAATCAGGCTTTTACAGAAATAATATAATTTTACTGGAAATTTTTAACTTTATAATAAGTTGGAGGCTGAACGATAACCAAGTAATGGGCATGCGATATTTTCTTTGATCATCAAAAGTTCAAAAAATTATGTTATCATTAGAAGGACGAAAAGTAGAGAAACGTAGAGTCACATACTGAGATCAAGTATTAAGTTGTATAGAGTATTTGAAAGAACCAAGAAATTTGCATTAGCGCTTTGACACGCAACGACTAACAGTTTATGTTGGGTTTTTATAATCTTTAGTATATACATATTTTTTTGACGCATATTTTTCCACCTTTACCTCTCGCGTTTAATCTTTTTCATACTTAACGTTGCGCATATAAAACTCACACATCAGACGAATACTACGTGCGATTCATCAACCCATAATTCCTATTACATTATGAGGCGCTGCTGTAGTGGCCCTATTTAAAGAGTTTGGGCCTCAGTGAACCTCTGAGCTTTTTCACCTTTCGTTGTGTTTCCTACATTACTCCCCTAATCCGCTGAGCTGCCCGCAGTGTATACTTGAGATCGTCAAGGGTCGGCAACTGGAGACGATAAGCCTCTGCAAGGTGCACCTTCAAAGTTCTCGGCTCTCCCTTTGATGTCAAGTATTCCACGTACGCACAAAGAATTCTAAAAATCAAATAAAAGAAGAATGATGACTGGTCGGTTCAAAGCTTCTGTAAAGTATTAAAAAAAAAAGCACACCGCGTTGACTCATACTAAAAGCTAAAGACAATTCTAAAGCTAAAGACACGCTTTCTAAAATTATTTTCAGTCGTAAATTGTTTTCACTATGTATGTGTATATAATTGCTTACTAATTAAAAATATTCAAAGAAAATACTGAAACTTAAGTGAAAAATAAATTTACACAATCAACAAGAAAGAACTGAATAATTCCTCAGTCAAAGTCTATTTCCATATGGTATGTTTAATTAATTTCATTTCATCAATTTTTTATCAACTTCATTTAACCTTTTTGCATTCTTTATTACTTGTAAAATTTTGATTATTACTGTAATATATTGTGATTAATGTAATTTAACATTATAATATTAATATTAATACATATTAATTATAAATAAATCTATGTATAAATATCGAGGAGAAGGTAGAATTATGAGTCGCTTTTTTTTTTCATTAAATTACATTTTACTCTGTTAAGTTATCATCAATTTTCACTTTTCGAAATTTCTGTTTATTATCAAGAAGTTATTTTTCAATATATTTGTGGGCTAGCCGATGGACCATAATCCTACCTTCTCTTCTATATTAATATTAATATATAATATAATATTAGAATGTAAAAAGAATTTTTTTATTACTGAAATGTATTTTGGATACATTGCGGTTACCTTCCAGATGCATTATGCCCAGATCCATAGTATTTCCATGTGGATTTGTAAAAAATAAGTACTGTAAAAATATAATGACATTATTAAGTAAAAGTGGCCACTGTGAAAGGTATATCCTGTAACATAGGAACATATAGGGTCACGATATTTTTCCAATTACATAAAGAATGTCCCCAATTGCTTAATTTCGTATTGATCCAGACAGAATAATAACTCTTATGATCATATAGTACACTAGAGTATAATTTCACCATAGTAAATTATTCAAAGTTTGATAAAAATGTTTTAAGAAATTACAGTCATATCGAATACTTAATTTTAATGTGACATCAGTTACTGGACTAATCATTTCGGTGGTTATATCAAATGAAATAGACTTTGAAATCTCGCATGTTTATCATGTGATCGTATAATTTTTCAAAATTACTTTCAAAACGTCATTTTTAACACGTATTGGAAAACAACTATTTAAAAGTGTATATAACTCTATAAATCTAAAGTAAACATGCAAAAATATTATTTGTGATTAAGAGATAATAGTCTCTGTTCACCACTTTCAGTCTATAATCTCATATATTTTGACGTGACAATGTACAAAACATGATATTTTTACTTTTGATAAAGACTTCACACGCATAATAATCTTTTTTTAAAATTCTACGAAAACTAGAGTGGTGATTTGTTAAAAATAAATTGTCAGCGATCGTACGATAGATTAAGAAATCAATTGATCGTTGATTAACTTCATTATAATGAAAACTTTATAAAATTAATCATTCTGTCGTTAGTTGGAAACTAATTTATCGATGAAACTATTATGTTTTACAGGAGCAGAGCCACTGAGAATAACGTCTGTTGAAATTCCGAAAATTGTGAGAGCAGGAACTGATGAGCCAGTAATTTTGGATTGCAAATATGACATGGAGTTAACGTCAAATGTCGCCCTTGTTGTTAAGTGGTATATCAAACAGAACGAGCTTCTCTACCAATGGATTCATGACAGAAGACATCGGGGTTCAGATGAATACCGACATTACATTGATGAGTCATATAAAGCAAGCAATGATTCAAATACCATGTACAGAGCAGTCAAATTAGTTAAACCAAGTCATGAACTTTCTGGAAAAGTTAAATGTAGCATATCAGCACAAGATGCTGAAGTGGAGGCTACTAGTGATATGCTCGTTTATTGTAAGTATTTCTTTATAGTTGATGTTGTATTTCCAATAACTGGACGATATTTTAATTAAAACGATTCGTTTATTGATGAGAAAGTGAATACATAATGTTACAGAGCATTTGGTGTATGAGTGATGTAGAAGTTCTGATAGATTCTAAGTGTATTCGAAGTTAGGAAAAAGGTTTCTTATGTAAAGGATTGATCAAAAAGTCTAGAAGAGGGCTTGAAGCCTAGCTCGTAGAACTTCTTTATTGATTTATTATTTTTGATTTATTTTAATTAATTTTTATTTATTTCTGTATATATTTAAGGAAGGTTGGAGGAATCTGAAGAAGTTCAACTTTGAACTTTTAGAAATCAGGGATGATAGAAGGAAGAGTTTTTTGTTAAAGAGTTGAAATGCATATACAAAAATGGGTTTTTTGCAATGAGTGAAGGAATCAGATTAATAATTTGTTTTTTTTTATAGAAGAGTTATTATTTTTGATAAACATAATTGTTTTGAATAATTATCATCATTTTTCAAGACTAAATATTCTTTTAAAATATTACTATCTCATCTACAAATTAATAAATAAGTCATGTCAAGAAATTCATGTTCAGAATAAAAAGTTTTTATGACTACTACATTAGTAGATTTGAATCTCTTGAAAATATTATTCCTTCTCTCTCTTTTTTTGCACAAAGAAAATATAAAAAAGTTTTCGAGTAAGTTTTATTACGTTTTTCAACTTTTTAATTAAAGTAAATTCATTTAAATAAAATAATAGATAAGTTTGTTTTATTTGTTAACAATACCATTCACAGATAACAATGTTATATTTATTATTCAATTTTAAAGAACAACATTATTCAGTTAGTTTTTTTTTTAAATAAAACCAAAATATAATCACAATTGATGTCTATTTTATCGAGAGACATTTTACTTTTTAAGTGGGTCAAATTGTTATGGATAAAAGTTCTTTTATATTATTACATAGTATTGTTATTTTTTCAATGCATAAACTGAATAGTAGTGAAAAAACAAAAGTTTTAAAATATAAAAAAAAAAAAGGAAAAAATGTAATAATATTACATGGGAATGGTTTTAAAAAATATGATGTCAGAGTTAAAATATTTATTTGATTTTAAAAAAGTCGAGTCAACAAAACTTTTTGTTTTATATTTAAAAAGCAATGGTTAAAGATCAAGAGTGATACATTAGATTTATTTTTATGCATGACTTGAGATGATGACATGAAAAGGGTTAAAGTAGCAGTGAAAATAGTGCCGACGGCTAGTAGTAGAAATCGACTGCAGTCTGGCGACAGAACTCAATGCACACAATGGTACGGTGAATGTATTGTATTAGTATTGATGGGCAGAATATTCTACAAACATAAGACGTGAACTGAATATCGATTTATAGAGAAAAGCTAACACTATTGAAAGTTATGTAAGAATTTTTTAAAAATACTTTACAATGAAAAACAGAAATAAATAAATAACATCTACACATTGTTACACTAAAATAATATAATTAAAATGATTTGATTTATCCATAAGCAATCATGTCCATTCATATTTCGTTATTTTTGTCTTTATTTTTAGCTACTGTAAATAACCATATGCAATATTTATTTTTAATATAATTGTATATTTGAATAATAATCGCAGTGACAACTATGAACGAACAAGTTTCTATTGTAACCAACCAATTGATTAGTAAACAACATCACTTGTGCTTTATGAACAACAAAAGAACAATATTTTATATCATATTTTCATTGTATATTTTTTTTTCATTGTTTTTTTTTTGTACTGACAATCACAATAATTAAGAGATATTCTAAACATAGACCAAATTTTTTTTTATAAAATTGTATAAAATATTTTTTAGCTCCTGCCAGTGTTTTTCGATTGTTTCATCCAATAATAAATGAAAACTCTACACGATTAACAACACGGTGTGTAGCAGAAGACCTTTATCCACAACCTCTGATAATGCTTTATCGTGATAAGTAAGTTTTTTATTTAACTCTATTAAAAATACTTACCCATGAAAAGACTTGTTTGAATTTTGTTTTAATTCAAGAACTTATTTAAAAAATTTTTTAAATTATTTAGAATGAATTTTTTTAAATATTTCAGTCAACCAATAGAAAATCAAAAACAATTCTATGAAAACAAGTCGGACGGTCGATTTACTGCTGAAGTTGTGGCTAATTTGTGGATGAATGAAATCAAATTACCAACCACATTCCAGTGTGAAGTGTCGATCAGAGAAGCAAATTATACTTTAGTTCGAGAAATAGTTTATAATGGTAAGTTATGATGAATTACAGCTATCAAAAGTTATAAATACTCCATTTAGTTGAATATATAATAAAGTCATTCCAAATACACATACTTAACTAATTGAGTTATATATAGATATATTGTTTTTAATAAGTATGATGATAATTATTAACTTTTTTTTAAAAATTATTATAATAATTTATATTTATTATAAAAAATTAAAAATAAAAGTTGAAAAAATTACGGATTTCAAAAAATGAGAAGTTTATCGTCGCACAGTGCGCTTAGACCTTTTGAAATTACGTCTCATATGAGTTTCTTATAATTAATAGTGTAAACTCCTCGATCTTTTTTTCCAACCTCTCTTCACATGTCAAGCCGTAGATTTAACTCTTTCTATATTTCGAGAGCACAAAATGTCCCAAGTGAAAATACCCAGGGAAGCTATAAATCTTCGTTGGGTACTAAAAAGGCAAACGGTAGTCATCTGGACTTAGTCTGGGTTAAAATAATATAGATACAATTTATATCCCTTTATTTTTGTCATTTTCATTCACCTAAGTAAAATATTATCAAAGTAATAGTTGATTTCATTTTTCTAAACGTGTTAAACACAAAATATTTATAATAACCAGAACAATTGCGCCGAGAATTGAAGGATATTTCCCAAGAGAGAAATGTTCTATCTTATTAAAGAAGAAGGTAAACCTTTAATCTATAATATAACTAAAACGGGAATCAAGTTATTCGATTTTCTCTATTATCTTGCCTTCACTTATTTTTTCTTTACTTCTTTCTATATCAACGTCGAGTTTCCTTTAAGGTCAATAAACCTGTTTATCAAAGTCTTTTGAATAAAGTTAATCGAATAATTATAAAATTGATCATACAATTTATGATTCTAGGAACATCTCAGTCCAATGTTTCACTCTTGATCTCTTTCATCACTGGCTTCATCATAACCAAAGCAACATCTGGCTGTTAATAAGAAGATTATGTATATATTCAAGAAAAAAATAATTAACAATTGGACAATGTTATTACATGAATTTTTATTGATAATTATTAAGACTACACTATTATGTACCTTGTGATAATCAATAGTCCTTTCTGAGGTAGGTAGTATCTACCACATCATGATACTTGTACAAATACTCTACCATCACTTAATCATTCATCAATCCGGCAATAAAATATTTAGGAAATTATTCATATATCTAGAATAAAATGATTATAATAACAATATTTATGTGCTGTAGTATACTGATGTAAGTGGCCTATTTCAATCATCTAGATTCATGATTGTTCATAAACGATTTATTTCAGTACTTAAATGAACTTTTTTTCTTTCCACAATAATCATTATTATATTTGATCTAAAATCATTTCAAGAGAATTATCTCTTTGTCTAATAGCTGGTATCTGTCTATAATTAAATGTAAATTCATTTATAATAACTTGCTATTATGGAAGTTTTGATGCAATTATTTCTATTTTAAATGTTACAATAAATATAATACGAAGTAGTTATTATCTGACTCTTCTCTTTGCTTGTGTGTATTATTATTATTATTATTTATAAAAAACAGGGTAATATGTATGAATTGATGATGATAAAAAAAATAGATAAAATAATACTGAAAAGAGATAAATGTTCACGAGACTTGCACAAAATAAAGTGTAGACGAGTGAGTGAAAGTTGTGATAAAATAGAGAATTGATAACTTTCTTTAAAAAAACCTTTAACTACATAAATAATAAATCTTTAAAGAAATCTTTGCTATCACAATTCGTTATTTAGGAGTAAAAAAGAAATGTCGGATTTTTTTTCTGTATTTTTCACTACTCTATGACTTTTATCAAAAGTATGTAATTTTTTATTTTTATAGGAAAATATTTGTACTTGTTTAATCAATATATTTACTGGGTAATAACATCTTTGTTATTATACATAATAAAAATACAAGATTTTTTATATTGAAAAAATAATTAATATCATAAGAAAATGCATTGTTTTATTCTAAAAAAAAATTATTTGCTGCGATACTGTGATAAAATTTGATCAAAGTCAGTTAAGAAATGGAATTTTGGATTAATTTTTGCTTTTCAATGTTATTTGAATGGTCTAATTAATTTTGTAGTATCAAAAGAACAGAATATTCATTAAACTTGACTGACTCGTAAAGCTTTCAAGATTGAGTCAGTATGGAAGTGAAGAAAATACCACTTAAAACTCTTCAACATCTACTCAATTATCTGTTCATACATTTGCGAATTAACTGTATATTTCTAGCACATAAATATCTGGAAGAATGAAAAATTCATAGTTGTATTAAATAAATAATTGTTATTAAAAAAAATATTAACTCGATCATAATTGTATCGTGTTCTGTAATTGTTGTAAAATAATATTTGGAAGTATAAAAAAGTCATTTAATTATTATTATTACTATTATTATTAATATAATACAAAAGGATAAAAATAAATATTAAGATAAATAAATAAAAATACTATTTGTATAGGCCGAATACATTTTATTAAAAACTGTAATAAAGTATTATTTGGTTATTCATCGAAAATAAATGAACGTTGATTATAACTGGCTAGAATTTATTTTTTTATTTGTATTAACAATTGCTCTTATAAACCTACAATTTTTATTCATTTATTTATTTATTATCAAACAGTACGAGCCAATTACAGGGTCACACAAACCATTCAGCAAAGCAAAAAAAAAATATAAAAACAAAACAACAGGTGGTGAAGGCCATTAAGCAACAAATCCAAATATAACAAAATATTTAATAGTAAAAAAAAAATATGATAATAATACGACACCTGAACGCATACAATCAATAAAGTCAATGAGAAATCGATATTAGTTGAAGCTGTTAATTATGTTAGCACACAATAATAATTAAGGTCGTTCGATAGAAAGTAGTGTTTAGGTTCAATACCTATATTTTATTGACTTATTTAAAAGATTCAAACTTTTTTCATCTACAAAAAGTTTTACAAAATTTTTTCGTAGTTAATTTATTCAATATTTATAATTAAAAATTTTAAAAACCAATTAGAGTGAGAGAAAGGTCAACACACAAATACAAATATTTGGTTTTCTCTTGAAAATGAATCGTTAAACCTTTGCTAAAAAATTTTTTAGTACTTTTGTAGATACTCAATCTTTATGACTTGAAAATCGTTGAACGTTCTTGTGCTTTGTCTTCCAGAAATATGCAAATAATTTACAGCTTCTATCTTTCATCTCTGTCTTTCATGTCAAACTTAGTCGAGTCATGTTTATATCAACGAAAGTAAAGACGTTTAATAACATTAATTAACACATCATATTACTGTTTTGCTATATAATATTTAATTTCTTATTATTCAATTTTTTTGACTATTTTTAATAGTACTTCATTTGACTAACTGCTGAATGTCATTTACGTTAATTAATAATCTCTTCAAGAAAAAAATAACTATTCAACTTATGTTATGTTTATGTTTATTGAAAGATTAATAATTATTACGAAAATAATAATAATACTTGTAGATCATATTTATTGTTCAATGTTTAATATTGGAAATAAGCAATTGTATGATTATATTCAAGATGATTAGTTAAATTTAGTACTCTTTGAAGCACTAAAGGGATTTGTTTCTCTTCGGGGCATTTATCGAAGCTTTCACATTATTCTCAGCGTATGGCGCATGCAAATTTCAAGTTTCCTAAGGTAATTTATACAACCAACGATAAATATTCTGAAATGGTTTAAACGATGTATATTTTCTTATAGTAGAAGAAGAAAGGAAAGCACAATGTTGGTAAGAATTGTATACATATTTTTGATCAAAGCATTATTTCGCTTGAAAATAGAGATTATATTCTGATTAATTATCTCAAATACGTTGCATACTTTCGACTACATTATTAAATAAATATTTCTGCCACTTAAAAATTAATTAGTGCAAGGAAATATTTCAAAGTTGATCAAGTGTTTTATTTTCGTCAACAATTTTTTTTTATCGAGTCTAGTACGAAAACAAGAAAAAAAACCTGCTGGAGAAACAGATCGATCTGTGTTACTATAGTTATTATATATGAAAAAAAAAACAAGAAAGGCTGAGGCAGCTAGAGTAAATATCTGTACATGATAAAAAAAAGATGTTTCGATTAAATTCGAGTCAGAAAACCGTTGTTGTTTTTAATACTTTATAAATAATTCTGGTTTAATTTGATTTCTGATTTTTAATTGATATCAAGACTCTTTAGAGTAGGAATCGTTAATGATTCAGCTAATGTTCAAAACCTTAATCATGTTATAAAGGAATGTTCTAACTTTAATGCACAAAGAGTGGCTCTGCTTCAAGATCTCCAAGAAGCAGGAAAGAGGCTTCCATCAAACATAACCGAACTTTTAAATATAACCTTAAGATATAAAAAATACAAATAAGGTCTAAATTATTTCTGTTAATGTAATTATTAACCCATAAAGGTTGAATATTTAAAAAAAATGTTAATATCAAGAACATTATTGGAAAAAGTTGATGAAAGTTTTAGAATAGGTTCAAGGTTTTCTGAAGTGCATCGTAACGGTAATAAAATAAAATGAATCTAAATTTCCTTTAAGACTCTAATAATAATAAAAAAAGAAGTTTTCTTGGAATTTATAAGTTTCAATTGAATCCATGACCAAAATGAAATCAAATTTCGTACTACAATTCTGATTATGCCGCAGACTAAATTGGCCGATGTGTGCTGCCAACTGAAAATGGAATGCCGTGGCAATATTCGGTATATATTCCAGTAAAGTTTCAAGAACCAAATACGATAGTACCAACAAGTATAAGTGTGAGAGAAGCTCTGTAGCGTATGCTTTTCCCCTTCAGGAAGCGTTCACAGAATTCGGGATATCGTCTGACTGCTTTCCACGAACATACCAGTGAAATTCATTTGCAGCACAAATTCGCTCTCCAATTGGCTAACTCAAATGTAGAACCGCTTCCTGTGCTATTGTTAATTAGACTCAGAGAATATGGATAGTAATAAACGGTTGCTTATTCAGACTTTCATCAAAGTTACGAAAATTTTAAGGATTCTAAAGATATTCATTCCAATTTTATCTTTTTTTTTTTATCAACGTCATATTTTTTTTCAATACAATAATAATGATTTTTTTTATCTAAATTATGTAGAGTATATTTTTTAAAGAAAATTGTGTATTTAATTGGAGCTAGTTAAGTTCATTGAAGCAATTAAAAAATTTTTACATTTATTTAAATTCAACAGCTTGTAATAATTTTTTTGAAAAGTGTACTCGGTAGAGCACAACAAAAAAGTTTCAAAATGTTTTGTTAGATTCAGGAAGAATTTTATGAAATATACTTTTTTATAAATGTTGCAATTGTTGTATTGTTCTGTATGTCTTGTAATTAAAACTTTAGTATCTAATTAAATACACTTTTTAATTGGCTTTTTACAATACACAAATTATAGTATATCCAATGTGAATAATAATTTTTAACAACTTTCCTAAAAAATATTTCCAATAAAATATAGATAAATTTTAGAACTGCATCTTGATGTAAACTATAGCAGGAAATAAACTTTTACTTTAGAAAAAGAAAGTGACGTCATTATTTTTAGATATCTTCATGCAAGTATACATAATAATTGCATGTTTTTTATGAACAGACATCTAAAGACAATACAAACATGCTTGTTACTTCGAGCCACACCTGTGCTACTTTCGCTGATTATTTACAGATGTATATAAATCAAATGCTGTCTAGGCGCGGTTGAATTTCATTAATTAAAAGCTAACTAAATTTACGATATTAATATAATAAATAAGAAAAAAAAAAAATCTAAATATTTTTGAATATCTAAGTTAAAGAATTTTATTTTAATTTTTTAATTAACATACTTATAAATGCATTGGAATTTTTTCATTTATAGAAATATTCTCCATTATAATGAGTAACATTTACAAGCACTCACAGAGCAGCAATTATTTCCTACTTTCTCACGAGAGAAAACACAATTTACTACTGAGTAATGTTAATTTTCAAGCGATTTTTTCGTAACTTTATGTTTGTGTGTACAACATAATGTATATTTTTCTATCTAAATGTACATAGTGTTAATACAATATTAACTTCATTAAAACACATTTAAATGATAATTCAATTTTATTCTTTCATTTACATTTTATCATTTTATACAAATATATACATATAACTATTAAAACAATCTTAATCGAACGATTGCAATTATCAATGAGTTTAATACTCAACAGGTGACAGTACATGGTTGCAATCTGCTTACTCAATTTCCGATACATTGAATCCAATCAATGTAGAAACGAAAATAACTAGTTATTTATTCATTACTTTTTTCTTTTTTTTATTTAAACAAATTTTTATTTACATATTCACTAAAGAGTCATTCAACGAAAAAGTAATCATTATACAGGGAATTATTTAATGAATATTAAATGATTGGATTAAAAACAGTATTAATAATCAATAATAATGGAATTTTTGAACAAATTGATGATTAAAGTTGAATATATTCTGTAAGTATGAATGACAATAGGATTATAATAATAATAATAAAGAAATGTTGATGAAGTGACCTTGCTTATTGTGCCAGTGACAAGGTAATCCTCTCACTTTGCTCTTTTTAATCTCCTTGCAATCAATTGAATAAAAGAAAATGACCAAAAGTACAGGTTGGGCCACTTTCTTGCATCAAACTCTCGGCGATCTCTGTGTATATCCGTTAGCGAATGTCTTTTCACCCCAGGGCAAAAATATCTAGAACATCGAGAGCTATCGACAATTCTAGCAAGATTGAATCTTTCTAAAAGCGCTTCTACCTCCGTTTATTACATCGGAATGTTTTTTCTTTCTTTTATACTCTCTTTTTACCTTTTTTTTTTTCCTCCTAAAGTAATGACAAATATTATTTGTTCACATTAATGCATAGGAGATGCTTGTTATTTTTTTTATGACAATTAATAATAACTAATTAAAAAGTACTGGTTGAAATAGTAATTTAAAAAAAATCTAAAATAGAACAGATTTAAAAGTAACAGTTGAACCAGACAATTATCACCATTTCTTCTCTTTCCTTGAAATTCGTTTTCCTCTCACCATTTCTCCCAGATAATTTTCATCACTTTCTCGTCATGTATTCCATTACCTTCCTTTCTCTTGATTTACTTCAACAACCTTTCTCTCCACTGGTATACGTACTTGTATCTGTATTTTACAACGTTAGCGTTGGTGGTTTTCTTCTCCAACACATATGAAAGGCCTTAAATCGTCTTCAGGCGTGGGGATATCTAGAGCTTCGAGTCAAGTCAAGTGGATCATGCTGGACCAATGTTGTGTTTGGTGTCTCACTACAGTGTCAGCGACATATCGAGTTCTGTTTGAAGATTTTTAGTTTTCCTGAAACAGTGATACTCTTTACAATTTTTCAGTGAATATTTGACTTTTATTTAAAATTAATTTTATAATTATATTTGAGTATCCAACAAGTGCCATAAAACATCATCATCATCTTTATGTACCAAAATGTCATTTAATTTAGTAAGTTTACTATTCTGTATTAACTTATTTTAAATAATTGAATATTTACTCATTTGAAAAACAAAGTAGAATAAACTTGACGTCAATTCAATTTTAATTATATATTTAAATAGTTATTTTAATTGACATTTACTCAGAGTATCTTACTCTACTACATTAAAATAGATTGAGAAAATGAAACTCGTGGTTATGGTTTTATCTTTTTAATCAAACTTGGCAATAAGAATTCTCTTCAATGTCTCTTTCATGATTAATGGATTCAAAAATTCACCTCAACTATAAAAGATGCATAATAAATAAATGAATTTCATCATAACATAAATACCATAGTTTTACTTCATAAATTTATCTTAAATTAAAAATATAATTATTATTATAATGATGATGATTTAAATAAATTAGATTGAAAGGAAGATGATGATTTATTGCATCTATGATTATTTGAAACCAACACTGAGGAACACTTGAAGATTTTTCGAGCTTTTTCCACCTTTGAAATAGCTGTGAAAAAGAAAGCTACAATTTCGTAATCTCAGTAAAGTTGCCGGGTAAAACGTAAAACAGACTGCTAAGTGTAGGAGGAGTAGTGTAATGTGGCCTGTGTCTGTACGTCGACCCTGCATAAAGCCAAAGGCGACGACGGGGATTATGGCTCTAAAGGCGAAGCTATGCAAATCACGATGTGCTTCACCAAATTCACAGAGAATCTCATTTACCTTGTTGGACGCAGCAGCAACAGCAACTACGCGTGGTGCACCATTTCTTTGAGATATACGCCCGGAGAAATTCCCACTGATAGTTATTAGAGAGTTGATATCTCAACCCCTATGGAAATATACTCTTCTCTTCTCTAATTATACTATGAAATATTCAATCTACGTATTTAATAAATATCAAATTGCGTAATTAAAATGAAATAAATATCTTAGTAAATAGCTTATATTTTATTTGCTTTCTCCAAATTCTAAAATATTTTATCACCTTTCATGGATATTTTAACTGAGAAAATTTTATCTAGAGAAAGTTTCAATAAATTATGGATATATTAAACTTTAAGTATAGTAATATAATTATTTAAAATAGTTTTAAATTTTATTTATGAGGTATATCTTAATAGAGAATTTGAAGAATTTTCTGTAGAATATTATTAGGTAGTTCACATTTATTATTTATATTTAACTTTTCGTATTATTTTTGAATTAAAAAAATAATAGCGCTATTAAATTTGCTTTAATTAATCAAAAATAAAATTATTTAAGTCATTGAAATGACAAGAGTTAATCTCTTGATGGAATTTACAACAGTAAATGAATGATTAAATGATAGCTATTTGGTTTATTTCAGGTTACACTTATTTTGGGAATATTGATCACATCGATTGCCACTACTCCATTAAACCACAATGAAAATCATAATGATAAGAACGACGTAAGTTATTTTTTATGATTCCTCTTGTTTATGAATTCGCAATGACGCATGATATTGGTTAATAATCAATAATTATCGAAAAGTGAATTACATTTTTTTTTAGATTAAAAAATTCAAATTATCATGCAATCATCGGCATGCATTTTGTGCAATATATTCTAGTATAAATAATTTTAATATTGAATAATCTTTATTCAAGAAGGCACGTAACTTTCTCTCTTTCTCTTTCGAATCATTGAAACTTGTATATTTCATCAGGATTATAAAGATGTACATGTTGAACGTAATAACATTTTGAGCATAGCAAAACATTACAATCGTGTAATATAACGTTAGTGGATACGAACGAGATTGTGCAGAACTAAAGTGTTTACTGCAACACTCTTACTCGAAGCAAATATATGTGTATATATTTGTTAAGTATGTATGTAGTGAGTGAAGAACCCATAGCCGGGAAAACGTGACAAGCGACTTAACTAGTGGAGCTACGCTTACTCAAGTGACTGAGATGTGAGTGAAATGCGCCTCGGTCCCTATCTCTTCTATTCTCTTGTCTTTCTCAGCACTATAGCAACGTATCAACTGATAGAGATAGTTATACTCATGAAAGCTAAACAAAGATGGAAATACAACCTGTTCATGTCTCCGAGCATTCTCGCCGATCAAATACACATGTACGACTTGGTGCATTACATGTTAGTACCATCACGCTCCAACAGCCAGTCTATAATCTAATTCATCTTAGTTAGTGACGTGGAAAGGTGCACCTGGGTCAACTCAACTACCAACAGTGGCTGGTGCCAGTAGGCAAAGACGGCTACAAGTAGATCTAGGTTACAGATTTCTATGCCTGAAGGTCGAGGGCATTCACAAATTTTTATTCATCTCGTTACTTTATGTCATTCTAACGTATTCTCTTTATTATTGTTGGAATTTTTCCTTTTTTTTTAATTATTACTTTTTTTTCAATTTACTCATCGAGGTCTAACTATTAGAATCATGGCATGGCTAATAAAATATTGTTGAAAAATTTTATAATTTTTTTTAATTGTTTTTAAAAAAAAAAATGAACTAAACAATTTTTTTTATTTACTGTTTTTTGCGAAATCTATTTGTTCCGTCTGATTCTACGGGGAAAAATATGAAGAAATCACTAGTTACAATGTTTATTTTTAATTTTCTAATATGAAAAAAAAATTATTAAAAAAAATCGTTATCGATGAAGAAAAATTTAAATAACCTAGAATTTTACAGAAATTCCTGAAACAAATTCAACTTTATGATAAAATATAAATATATATGATTATTACCATGTAAATAAGATAGTAATGATTCAATCTTTATTTTATGTTGTAGAAAGGAAGTTAGGTAATCAATAACAACTATGAAAATTGAACACAATATTTGATGTATTGAAAACTAAAAATAAAAAATCTCTAATGATTTTAAATGGTCAAAAACCGAAATACTTGATAGTTATAATTGTATTATAATATTGTTAGAAACAGTTGTCTGAAAATACAGAACATTTTGAGTGTAATTAATATATATGTATATATATATATAGATATACCTTTGAATTAATTGGCATGAAATTTAGAAACAAGTTGAATTAAAATGTTGTTCAAATTGAAGTTGATTTTAGTACTGAATTTTGGCGAACTATTTTAGTTAATTTTGAGACTTGTGGGCTAGTAAAATCGTTCTCAGAATTGACATGGTTAACCACAAAGTTTCAATTAAAACCATTTGGTGACGCAAGAACGAGAATAGTAATTAAATTCTGAATGGTAATTTACACCGAATGGAAGAAAAATTATCTGAAAAGAATATCGATTCCTATTTATATATAGATATACATATATCTTTCATTAATTAGTACTAACAAGAGAAATATTTCAAATGAGAATTTTCAATCATTAAATTATTATAATAAATTTAATTTCACAGCCATTAATTATTAAAAAATGTTCATTTTTTATCTACTCAAATCAAATGTTAAATATAATACAATAATTTAAATAAAATGAATAATCAATGTTCTAAAATTAAGTTTAAATATTTTTAACACTATTTACATACAATTTGATTAAAAAATAATGCATAAATTATTTGTTCTTATTTACAGAGAAATTTAAATTATCAATATGAATATGCAGTTGATGATAGTAGTGGGCAAATTCACGGAAAAGTTGAAACGAGATCTGGTGAATTGGCTAGCGGTCGATACTTTATAAACGACGACCAATCATCGACGGATGTGAAATATTTTGCTGATGAATGGGGCTATCATCCCTGGGTGAAATACCGCGCCTCAAGCGAACCGGGTACAGCAAACACACACTTAACTTTTGATACCGATGGAACACAAATACCGGTAAATAATACTAACATCGTTAGTGTATAAAATTTATTTTAAATTCAATTTATTTCTTTTTTTTTTTATTCTGTAAATAAGTGACGTAAAGAATATTCCATTATTTTTATTTTTCATTTTATTTATTTACATGTAAAACAATTAGGGAAGAGAGAAAAATTTATTTAATTAATTATTCTAGGATGAGGTCAATAAATCGACTGAACCAGTGCAAAATTTTGCAACTCAAGCGATAATGCCAATTAGTCAGATTGAAAATACGAGCAAAAAGTCACCGTCAGTCACAAATTTACCAACAAAAACTGAAGCTGCTGAATTTTCAGATATTCTAGAATTTTCACAGAAGACAATTAATAACCAAAATCAATTACAATCAGAAATTAAATCACCACCTATCAATGATTCAATTCAATTTGTCGAAACATTAACCAATAAAATCAGTTCTAGTGATCAAATAAATGTAACTTCTCCTCCACCTTTAGAGGAGGAGCTTTTGAATGAAAATACTGGTAATTTTGGTCAACGACTAATTGAACGTTTCCATGACACCAATATGATACAGAAATTTAATAATAATTATGAAGATAGTGCAGAATCTTCACAATCACTTGTCTACGTTTCAGAAAAAGACGATCCAAAAGTCCATCAAAAAATCTCAACGAATATAAAAGCTTCAAATGACAATTATAAAAGTGCTCTTGCGAATTTTCAAGCCAATCTTGAATCACTTCAAAAATCTTCTGTAGATTTGAATGAATCAGATGATATTCAAGAACAGACTCGAGAGGTATTGGATTTTCCAATGATGAACAATGATAAAAATAATACTATTCAATCTGCTATTGAACTTGAGGGAGAATCTTTAGAAGCTATATCAACAGGATCAAATTTAGCTAAATTTTCGAAACCTATTGTTGTTGTTGATAATGTGAATACAGAGAAATTCGAATACAGCACAACACTACCATGTGATGATGAAGATACTGAATCAATACCATTACTTGATGTAAACAATCAAGACATATTAGGTGACATGATATATTCTATACCCACAATACCAGAATCTGAAAATCCAAATCATATAGCAATATCTTCAGTGGTATTGAAGCCTATGCAAGCAGAAGTCGCTATGATTAATTCAGAAAAAAGTCACCTTGAAGGAGACGAAATGTCGTTAACAGAAGCTATCAATGAAAGTGGATTTGACGACTCGACAGATGGAAGTCAAGCATTAAAGCAAATCGGAGTTACGAAAATGTCTGTAGAAGGAACTCACAAGGAAATAAATCCTGTAGTTGGTGGTGATAAATTGGAAAAATTGACAAGTGTCATGCCTACATCTGTCACAGATCAAGAAGTCGAAATTCAAAAGTCACTAGAAGTATATCATAGTGCACCCGTCCATGAAATACATTATCCAGCTCAAATAACGTCTCAGGTAACTTCCATCGATCAGCAAGTTGAAAAATATCTGACTACACAGAAGCACACGAATACAAAACAGGTACCATTCAACAATGAGAACGTAAAGTCACAAACACAAATCGATCTTGCTAGCAGTAACAGCAATAATTTTGAATATATATCGATTGAGAGTCAGCCTTTAATGCTTTTACAAGAGTATCAAACTGTTCCCAATAGTAACAATCCTTCTTATGTCTCAGCTGTAGAACAAAAAGTCAACGTTAACAATCTTCCACCAGAGAATTCCCAACGTCTCGTTCAAAATTACGTAGCACACGAAGATCCTCAACGTACCAAAGTACCTCAAGAGAATCTAACTAAAGACGAGAATTTCTTCTTCAAGTCACGAATAAATGGGCAGATACCGTCACCCATGTTTGAAAAGTTGTCTCACGCATTTGTAACAGATCCATGGAATAGAATAAATGACAAATCAATCAACCAAAATGTTCAAGTCTCAACAGGTCAAGTGCAATCGCAAACACAATCAAATATCTCAAGAATTCCTGGTGAGTTTACTAATGTTGTTCAACGTCTTGAAACTGATCAGTTAAACTACCATGATGAGAATCAATATCATCAACAAACGAACATCAATGAGTTTGAAATTGGATCGAAACTTAATTATCCTAAATCACATATTAATTTGACGCGCCAACAAATTCCAATTTATACTGATCAGCTATATGCGGAAAGTACGAAAATTGTTGATAATACTATTCCAGTAATAAACGCCCAATCAACATCAAAATCACTTGGAAATAAAAATCATTCTATCAATAAATATACACCGAATGCCTATGGATTAAAAGCAGGAGCCAATAATTATAATTATAATACGAATAATAAAAATAATTTTATTACTAATATAAATCATCAACAGTTACCTATTTACTTTATGGATAAATTGTCTGAAAATCTATTTAAACAACCATCAAGTTTACATTTGATGCATCCAGAAGAACAAGTGTCAGCTTTCCAAGCCTATCCAGTTACAGTGAAAAAGATAATGGAGAAGAAAATGCCTTCGTCTATTCAAAAGTTTTCATCTCAATCTTATCCTATCCACATACTTCAACAATATGTCAAAGAAAAGTTTATTGAGAAACCTCTTCAAGTTCCATCAGAAAAGAAAATCCAAATTCCAGTACCATATTCACTTGGTAATCCACTAAAAATTTCACATTCTCCTGGACAGCTAATCTACCCTGAAAAATCAGCACATCTACCATACAGTGGATCTCAAATAATGCATCCAACATATGCTGTATACAAACAACTTGAAATAAATTCTCTTGATCAAAACAATCATGACAATGATACTTTTACTATAACTAAAAGTAATAGCTTTGAACAGCATAATAAACCATATTTGTACAGTGGTGATTCAATTAGTCCATCAGTGTCTATTCGATCTGGATCAAACATTAAATATGGTTTATTAAATCAAATTCCCATTAATAAACAAGCAGTTTTTAATTATCATGTTTACCCAAAAAAATCCCACATAAACCAAATGTCTCTTTCGACACATCCTAAAATGATTGATCATCCAGCTTTATTATATCAATATCACATGATGCATCCAACCAATGAAAAACAAAACCATCAAAATGTACAAATTGTGAGATCTGTATCACTACTACCCCAAGTTTTAAAACATTATCAACAGAATCAAGCTTTACATCCGGTTCATCAAGAACTCCTTCCCAACATACCATCTATTTCTTCTTCAAGACGAGTAAGAAAGCCGGAAGCCCATTTTCCCAGTCAGACGGGAATTTTCAGGCAATCAAAAATGGAATACGGATTTAAACCACCAATTGTACCTTCTATTCAATATGATGAAGAAACAGCCACCAAAGTGGAAAATTAATATTTTATATTTTTAGTGAAATTCACTTATCATAACGAAATTAATCATAAGCTTAAAAGATCATATATTCTTCTCATTGATTCATCAAACATTGATCACTTTTAAGATAACAAACTAAAGACTAAACTAGAATTAAATTATTTTTATACTTTTATATCTTCGCCATTTCATCTTTGTTATTCATGTTATTATTTTAAGATTATTTTCTAGATAACTGAAATTAGATTGTAAATTATCATGTTATGAGATATTTATTAAATTATTCGGAATAAATAGTAAGAATGTTTGTTTTTTTTTTAGAATAAAAATATAAAGTTTTTACAAAATTTTTAAATCACTTTTATGCAGACAAATTAAAAGTAGTTAATCCCTTCCGGCAAATTTTCAAATGCATCCACTAAGAAGATTACAATTCCAGTCAGGATCAAGTTTTTTTTCTTTTTTTCTTTCTATGGAGAAAAAGAAGATGGAAAAATAGTAAAAGCCAACGAGCACTTCGATAAAGTCGAGACTGAAGAAAAGAGCCAAGTTAGAAAACAATAATACGAGGTCAACTTATAAGAGTACTAATTCAATATTATCTTTAATTGTTAACTCGATTCACGTGATATAAAGTCTAGGATTCAAGTATATCTATCTGAGTGTAGAGCACATAAAAATAAACGGACGATAAGAAATATACCATCCTCAACGCCATGATTTTTCCGTACTGAAAGAAAGTTTACTCGCCACCTCTTATGTTGAAATCAATAACTTTACTTAAAACTTTTCGTTGATATTAAACACCAAAAGATATTAAATTTTATTTATAATCTTGGGATAATAATTTTACTGTTATAAAATATTTTAATACAAATTATGAATACAATGAAAAAGTAAAATATTTAATGTTTAACTTTTTTGAAGTTATCATTTAATTTGTAATCTAAATATGCTTTTATAATAATTCTTATAAAAATAAAGAGTAAAATTTGTAAGGTAGAATTATGTAGATAAATGTAATTAAAACTTAAAGTCAAACTTTATTTTACATTTTTACAAAATTCAATTTGTAAGTAAATATTAAATATTATCTTATTCCGATTTCATTTTAAGGTACTCTTTAATAATTCACTAATAATAATGAGGAAATCGGTAAAATGTAAATGAAGGAACGTTAATGCTTTCAATAACTGCAGTCTGCTGAAAAGTCATTTTACAAACCTCGTTCAATCTTGATAATGTACTTACTAAAGTCGAGAAGAAACAACATTAAGTTTTTTTTTATTGGATGCACTTTTTCTCTTAAACAAGAATTTGTAATTCAATGTTTGATTTGTTGGAAAAAAAAATGTCATCAATAATTACATCAATATCAAGCTGATTTACTTAACCTGGCAGAATGTCTGACGTAAGGTAAAGTTTACTACTTGATAATAGGCTAGAATTTTTATTATCATTTAATTTAGAAAAATGTATATAACACTAAAGTGATATATAAATGAAATTTATTTAGATACATCAATGAGAAAATTTCGTACGAGTAAGTTGTACTAAGTAGTTTTAAAACCTCAAAGGAACAAGTAGATTGGTTAAGTGCCATTACATTTATGAATTATTCAAGCATGTAGTTTATTTGTTTCATGCACATTTTCAATTCAATTAATAACGAAAGTTCAGAACAAATTATTTGTCTAAATTTTCGTTGTTGTAATTTCAAATAGAGGGATGTTGTATCAATTATTAGCTTTTAAAGTTATGCTGTATTTCTTATTATTAAAATAATGAATATTTCATAGATTATTTATTGAAAATAATTTTAATATCATTGAGTACAATATTAATGATGAAATTCAATTGACTTGTAATTTTGTCATATTTTTACGTTTTGAAACATTTGAAAGCATATTAGAAGGTTTAAAAGTTCATGGACGTACGGACAAATGTACGTACGTATGTGAGATGTTTTTTCTTTTCTGATATCTTGAAAACCACTGAAGATATTGACTCCAAATTAATTTTATTTGGAAGATAATACAATAAAGAAAATCTAAGAGGAGTTTGAACAAGTCCGGTTCAGCTGTTTTTTTTTTATAACAAAAAAAACTGTAAAATAAATGGAGTAAAAAGCAATAGAAAATTAACTTTACTTATTTTTTATGATAAGAATTTTTGAGAAATTTGTTTAATATCGATGAAATATTTTTATTGATCACTTTATAACCTAGAACGATTGTATATTATTTATAAAAAATTTCATTTGTTATAAACAATTTAAAAAAATAATTATAAATGGTCAATGGGAATGGGAAGTTGGTCGAGTAAGCACAAAATGCATCCAGACCCATTTTTTGTATTAATTAATTTTTCAAGTCAATTAAAACAACTCATTGTACTTAAAAAAATTTTATGAGCTTTTAAATCTACACAGAATCTTCTAAAGTTATTCTGCACACCATTCTAATATAATAAGAGATGCTACAAGGAAGGATTAAAAGTACATTAAACATGATCTCAGTATAACTATAGTATTAGGTGATTCCACAAATGATCAGTAGACTACGGTTAACCCCAGCAAATAAAGATAAAACCAAGAGTCAAGCGTATAATATACTAAGTTAAAAATAAAACGAAATGAAAAGAAAGACACTGTGTCGCCCTCGGCACATTTTTTATCGGCCGCGGGTTTGCGTGTCCTACTGTTTATTACGCCTCGGTGAATTAAGTCCGGAAAGTCCAACATACGCGCTGACCTTAGGAAAACGTGCAAAATAAAAATAAAATATAAACAACTTTAATCGGATAACGAGCTTGTATAGAGAAAAATGAATTAACTACAAGCTGAAAGATCATAAAATAGAATGTTGTCTACTTTACGAAAAACTTTTAGTAGTTGTGAAATTCTGATAACATATTAATAAAGTACCAAATTGTGAAAGTAGTAAATTTTCAAGATAACACAATATTCTGATCATGAATTAGCTGCGCTGTAAAAATTATAATTTACAATAACCAGTCTAAAGACAATATGTCATTTATTGATAATTAATTTATGTTTTCGATTTTACATGGCTATCATTAAATTGAATATTATGTGCGTGTGTGTGATTATTTAAATAATGTCAAAGATAAATGTTTGGAAAAATTGATCAAAGGAATAATTTATTGTACGTTATGTTTGAAATGATTGCGAGAAATAATAGAATTACGTTAATAACCTATTAAATAAACATCCGTGTTATCTTGTGTAACATATGTAATACAGGATATACGATGGATCCATATCTACGCGCAAACTCATTGTAAATATTGTCATTTAATGGCATGATTATGATTATTGTTTATCTACCGTTGAATGATCCACAATCATTATCATTTCATAATAATAAATTACGAATTATAAATAGATAAATAATGTGTTTTTGAGGTAATTTTAGTGATTTAAAATAAACTCATGGAAATGTTGATGGAATTAAATTATTGTTCGTTTATTTTAATGAATGGATAAGTCTTTGAAAACATACATATTCTGATAACAAGAATTGGAAATATTTGCGACAGAATATTTTATTCAATTTAACGAAATTTAGGAAAACCACATGGAATATAATCTCAGGATCTGTCAAAGTATTCATAAGCATCAGAAATGATAAAATAAATTCTCCCTGAATGTTGCAAACCTCCCCCATTAATTTCATTTACCCTTTTACTAACGAAAAGCAATTGATGTAATTTTAAAGGCCCTTGACTAAACCATTCTGAATTTTTTTAAAATAATTTTTTTACAATTAATTATTTTTTTCGTTCAAAATAATCAAGCATCATGAAAAGTATTTTTTTAATAAATTATTTTAATTAACCGTCAAAACTTAATTTATAAAAATTGAAAAAAAATATTACTAGTTCACAATAAATTTTTTTTCAATATACATCAAATACATTCTATAGAATTTTTATGAAAATTATTCAATGCTATTCATGAAGCTATAACGTTTTATTAATATTGTTTATTAACAAAAAAGTGAACAAAAAAATTAAAATAAAGTGATGTAATTTAAATATTTATTTTAGTCATTTATAGCTATTACGTAATATAATGAATTAAATTCAAAATTCTAATGTTATTAATTGAAAAAAATATTATTTATTCACAATAAATAAATTTTTCAGTGTGGTAAATTAAATCAAAATTTGATATGAAATTAGTTGGTACTTGAGATCCAAAAGTGGAGCATATTTTACTTCGTTTTATATTAAGGTTTTATATAGGAGTTGATTTTATAAAACCTACAGTACTATCTTTAGCTCCTTGAAGAGATTTCAATTTGCTCCAAAGTGGTAAAGTAGCAGTTGTAGGCGCAGCAGTAATAAAGTAGGAAGTCAATTTTTTTTTTCTTACAGAATATTAATGGTTCAAAATTTACAATTTAATGAGTAATGTAAAATAATACGGCCGGTATAGTCATTTATATATAACGAAGAAGTTTCTTATTCTATATTTCTGCTGTTATTTCTTCGTCTCTCTATTCTGCTAGTGAAATATTCATGATGGCAAATGAAGCAGGGTGTGAAAAACAATGTCCGAAAACTTATCATTTACATATACAAAATGTATTTTAACGGATGCATTCGTATTCATTTCGTCCAAGTATTACCATTGCAAATAGAATAAACACAGAAATTTATAAATATTAATAAAGGTTTTTTTTTTTACTTTTTTATTAGCTATAAATTACTTCTTTTCATTCTTCTTATTTGTACTTAAACATATCATATTTACTTCATAAATTTACACAATGCGATAAAATGAAATTCCTCTTTTTATTTTCCATCTATTTTTATTCCTATAGTTAAAAGATATATTTCTTTATTTTCTTACCTGTCAATCTTCCAGTCAATTTATGTGAAAAAAAATAACGTGAAGACGGAAACGACGACCAGTAATACGACAGGCATAATATATCTAAATGGATGAATTGAACGTGCAAGTGACAGTTTACAAGACAAGTAATTAAAGAAAAAAAAATCA